CCAACGATTTTTGAGGTTTTCTCTATGAAATTTTCATTATTTTACGTTGAAACCCCGAAACAAGGAGAGCGTAGGAAGATATAAATTTTCTCTTTCAGTGCTAGCTGAACTTCTCAATTGAATTGGAATGGAATGGATTTAGCCCAGGTGTAATGCTGAGTGTGCGTATTGAGGTGCAATGATGCCATGCGCTTTGAAACAAAGTTAAAACACATCGCAAACTCATTAAACAACACAGTTGAACTCAGGCAAAAAATGTCAAGAAACAGTAATCAAGGATCTTTTATAAGCGACCTCATCCAACAACAATAAGGTTGGCTCTCGTTTTCTGTTGTTGAAAACGAGGACAATATACAATCTCCTATCCACAGCCTATCATCAATGACTGAATGAATAATGTTGCTTTCATGAACAAAATATTATGAGAAACTGATACTCGAGAACCTTTTATAAGCGACCTCGCCGGACTGTTTAAAACATTTCCTACCGAACAATTGGCATATTTCAAGGTCATCAAATGATGTAGCGATAACATTTAGCAATGGGGAAAACATATCTTTCAATCTCAGAAGTTAAAAGTGCTTTCCCCATTGCTAAACGTAATCGTAACGTCAGATAATGTCTTTGAATTCGCCAATAAGGCTGACTTCCGTTGTAGTCCACGGTGGCACACTGTCCTTCAAAGAGGACAATTGGTCTGGGCTTCCTATCACAATCATACCAGCACTTTTCTAAAACGTATCAACCATGATTCAATGAAGAATTTTTCTCTCGCTACGAACGCAGGAAAATCCCAAGATAAATTCAGAAATGAACATTCCCATTCCCAGGAACAATATGAATAAAACGTTACAACAAACTGATACTCAAGGACTTTTTACAAGCTACCTGACAACAAGACTGACTACCGTTGTTTTCTGTTGTCGAAAACGTGGACAATAGGTCTATCTATTCATACCACCTCTGTTCCACGAACTATCATCAAGCACAAAAAAAAAACACGATAAATCCAGAAATGTACCTTTGTATCTCCCAGGAACAACATGAACACAACATTACAAGAAACTGGCACTCAAGGACCTTTCTTGAGTGACCTCTTCGGGACTAATTCGAATGTTTTCCGCCGAATCACAAGGCTGACTTCCATTGTTCTCCACGGTGGAACTGTCCCCGGGAGGGGACGATGGGTCTGAGCTTCCTATCACAATCATAACAGCACTTCCAAGACCTATGAACACAGATTCAATGAAGATTTTTTGTTCACTTCGAGCGCAGAAAAATCCCACGATAAATCCAGAAATGAACCTTCCTAGCCCCCAGGAACAACATCAAACAAAACATTACAAGAAACTGGTACTCATGGACCTTTCATAAGCGACCTCATCAGGACTGATTAAAACGTTTTCCACCAAACAGCAGTGCAGACTTTCATTGTTCTCCACGGTGGAACTGTCCTCGAAAGAGGACGATGGGTTTGAACTTCCAATCACAATCATAACAGCACTTTTCCGAGACCAATGAACACAGATTCAATGGAGATTTTTTTCACTTCAAGCGCAGAAAAAAACCCCGATAAATCCAGAAATGAACCTTCCTATCCCCTTCAGAACAGCATGAACAAAAAATTACAAGAAACTGGTACTCAAGGACCTCCATAAGCGACTTCATCAGGACTGATTCGAACGTTTTCTACCGAACAGCAGGGCTGACTTCCTTTATTCTCCACGGTGGCACTGTCCTCAAAAGGGGACGATGGGTCTGAGCTTCCTATCACAATCATAACAGCACTTTTCCAAGACATATGAACACAGATTCAATGAAGATTTTTTTCACTTCAAGCGCATAAAAAAACTCACAATAAATCCAGAAATGAGCCTTGCTATCCCCCAGGAACAAAACCAACAAGACATTAAAGGAAACTAGTACTCAAGGACCTTTCATAAGTGACCTCATCGGGACTGATTCGAACGTTTCCACCGAACAACAAGGCTGACTTCCATTGTTTTCCACGGTGGAACTGTCCTCTAAAGAGGACGATGGGTCTGAGCTTCCTATCACAATCAAAACAGCACTTTTTCAAGACCTATGAGCAATGATTCGATGAAGATTTTGTTTCACTTCGAGCGCAGAAAATACTCACGATAAATCCAGAAATGAACCTTCCTATCCCCCAGGAACAACACAAACGAAACATTACAAGAAACTGGTACTCAAGGACCTTTCATAAGCGACCTCATCAGGACTGATTAGAACGTTTTCTACCAAACAGCAGGGCTGACGTTCATTGTTCTCCACGGTGGAACTGTCTTCAAAAGGGGACGATGGGTCTGAGCTTCCTATCACTATCAAAACAGCACGTTTTCCAAGACCTATGAGCAATGATTCAATAAAGATTTTGTTTCACTTCGAGCGCAGAAAATACCCACGATAAATCCAGAAATAAACCTTCATATCCTTCAGGAACAACACAAACAAAACATTACAAGAAACTGGTACTCAAGGACCTTCCATAAGTGACCTCATCGGGACTGATTCGAAGGTTTTCCACCGAACAACCAGGCTGACTTCCATTGTTTTCCACGGTGGAACTGTCCTCTAAAGAGGACGATGGGTCTGAGCTTCCAATCATAATCATAACAGCACTTTTCCAAGACCTATGAACACAGATTCAATAAAGATTTTTTTCACTTCAAGCGCAGAAAAAACCCACGATAGATCCAGAAATGAACGTTCCTATCCCCCAGGAACAGCATGAACAAAACATTACAAGAAACTGGTACTCAAGGACCTTTCATAAGTGACCTCATCGGGACTGATTCGAAGGTTTTCCACCGAACAACCAGGCTGACTTCCATTGTTGTCCACGGTGGAACTGTCCTCTAAAGAGGACGATGGGTCTGAGCTTCCAATCATAATCATAACAGCACTTTTCCAAGACCTATGAACACAGATTCAATGAAGATTTTTTTCACTTCAAGCCCAAAAATACCCACGATAAATCCATAAATGAACCTTCCTATCCCCCAGGAACACAAACAAAACATTACAAGAAACTGGTACTCAAGGACCTTTCATAAGCGACCTCATCGGGACTGATTCGAACATTTTCCACCGAACAACAAGGCTGACTTCCGTTGTTCTCCACGGTGGCACTGTCCTCAAAAGGGGACAATTGGTCTGACCTTCCAATCACAATCATAACATCACTTATCCAAGACCTATGAACACAGATTCAATAAAGATTTTTTTCACTTCAAGCGCAGAAAAAACCCACGATAGATCCAGAAATGAACGTTCCTATCCCCCAGGAACAGCATGAACAAAACATTACAAGAAACCTGGTACTCAAGGACCTTTCATAAGCGACCTCATCGGGACTGATTCGAATATTTTCCACCGAACAACAAGGCTGACTTCCGTTGTTCTCCACAATGGCGCTGTCCTCAAAAGGGGACGATGGGTCTGACCTTCCAATCACAATTATAACAGCACTTTTCCAAGACCTATGAACACAGATTCAATGAAGATTTTTTTCACTCCAAGCGCAGAAAAAAAACACGATAAATCCAGAAATGAACGTTCCCATCCCCCAGGAACAGCATGAACAAAACATTACAAGAAACTGGTACCCAAGGACCTTTCATAAGCGACCTCATCGGGACTGATTCGAATATTTTGCACCGAACAACAAAGCTGACTTCCGTTGTTCTCCACAATGGCGCTGTCCTCAAAAGGGGACGATGGGTCTGAGCTTCCAATCACAATTATAACAGCAATTTTCCAAGACCTATGAACACAGATTCAATGAAGATTTTTTTCACTTCAAGCGCAGAAAAAACCCATGATAAATCCAGAAATGAACGTTCCTATCCCCCAGGAACAGCATGAACAAAACATTACAAGAAACTGGTACTCAAGGACCTTTCATAAGCGACCTCATCGGGACTGATTCGAACGTTTCCACCGAACAACAAGGCTGACTTCCATTGTTTTCCACGGTGGAACTGTCCTCTAAAGAGGACGATGGGTCTGAGCTTCCAATCACAATCATAACAGCACTTTTTCAAGACCTATGAATACAGATTTAATGAAGATTTTTTTCACTTCTAGCGCAAAAAAAGACCCACGATAAATCCAGAAATGGACCTCCCTATCCCCCAGGAACAACACAAACAAAACATTACAAGAAACTGGTACTCAAGGACCTTTCATAAGCGACCTCATCGGGACTGATTCGAACGTTTTCTACCGAGCAACAAGGCTGACTTCCGTTGTTCTCTACGGTGGCGCTGTCCTCGAAAGGAGACTGTTCATGGCTACCATAGGAGTTGAGGCTCAGCTGCAAGACCGGCAGGCCGAGGATCAGCCGGATGTTGTCGGTGAGATGGTCGGCCTCCTTGATTTGGTAAAAGATGCCCTCGGCCTTGTTCAGCATGACGGCCATGTCCAGTTTCCCGTTCAGATCGTTGATGTGCTGAAAGAGGATGGATAGAGATATTTTTTTCGGTGATAGTAGAGAAAATTCAACCCATTACAAGATCATTTCATGCATACTATTTTTTCTACAATAAATAACAAAAACAAAAACATAAATTCATTTTGAAATATTCATATTTCAAAATATTTAGACCCACTTGATTTACTTGAATATACCAAATTACGTGTTTCTCTAATTCGTTTCATAATGAGAGTAATCGGTAGATTCGCGTATTGTGATACGGAAGTAGAAAAAAAAAGTTGTGGAATCATACGATTTTTACATGAGAAATATTCATAATGCTCCATCAATTTTTTGAAATATCTCTCTCTACCCCAATTTGGTATATATTATGTTTTACCGGAAAGTATAGACGCGACAAATAAGCAAATTGAGAAGGTTATTGTAGACACCATAGATGAAACAAACCCTAGACACTAAGAACAAGGAACAAGGTGACTGACTACTTTTTGTTTTCATAGATTCCATGAAATACAAGAAAAAACACAAACAAGTAACTAACCTTCAAGATTTCAGTGAATCCATAGTTATTCTGAATGATATTATTCTTTTCTGTGTCCAGAATGGCGACACAAACCATCAGGTGGAAGTTTTCACAAGGGTAGCCGGTCCACAGCACCTGTACAAAAGATAGCAAGGAATAAATATCCATAGATTTTAGGAGATCTACATCTCAAAAACTACTGGTCTTTGAGAAAGATCCTGTATGAAACAGCAAATATGACAAGTTTTTTTTGCACAACGTCAATACACACACACACACACATATACCTACTCATCTAAAAACCATAGCTATATTTAAAATATTTTGAAGTACCTCCCAGAATCGCATGACATCCTCTTGGCTGAGCTCCCGCTTGAACCACACCAACAGCCACCGGAAGCAGAAGAACATGTTGCCGGAGTCGTGGGTGTCCAGGTAGTTGGCCAGTTGGGGGTTGATGAACGCCAGAAGGGTGTGCAGGTTCCCCAATTGGTCTTTCATGCCTGCTTGGTCGATGTCGAAATTGCGGCTCTAAAATTGATTCCAAGAAGGTGGCTATGTTGAGATCCAATAATTTTTCAAAATTGTTCAATTGCTCAAAATGGATTCCTCATATTTTCGTGGAATTAAATTTAATGATCTCAAATATTTCCATATCAATAAATGTAATGGTTGTTGAAAGAAACTATTTATTCGACGGCAAATTCTCAGGAAATAATCTTGAAATCCTCTGGCAGTATTTTGAAATGTCCTGCAATTTTATGGAAATCCTTAGAACCCTTAAAAATTCTCTGAAAAATACGAGGTTGGTGTTGGAATAACAGCCTGGGTTCAATTTTAAATTTTTTGGGAACTTTAGTCATTCCTCAAAATTATTTGGACAAACTGAACTCAGTGTTGATTGACAGAGGTTGAATTACAGAAATTTTAATTGTCATTTGAATGGATGGAGCTGTTTCACACTGAGGTGTGAGAAAAATCCTTAAGATTCCATAACAATACATTAAATTTTGCTAAAAATTCCTTGAAATCTTCTGGATTTATTCGAAAATACTTGGAATCCCAGGAATTTTTATCTCATGGATGGGCAAAATGAGCTTGGTGTTGAAAATTGATTGAAGTTGATTTAAAATTCTTCAAAATCCTTGAAATTCTTTGTCATCCTTCAGAAATCTTGGAAACTGATGAGCTTTGAAATTTTTTATTTTTCATACAACAAGCTTTCAATGAAATTTCTTGAAAAAGATGGAATGGGGTTGTAAAAAAATTAGTCGAATTTACGCCACAAACCTATTTCATATAGATCATTCTGTGTAGAAATAGTATTTGATGCAATTATTCGTTATTTATAATCGCAAACATATTTTTTCAATCCTTATATTCGCCATCTACGAAAAACGCCAGTCATGAACAGAACCGAAAGTTATATTTATCTGAATTCTGGTTCTCACATAAAACCTAGGACCACAAATTTCGACTCTGCCAGATTTGTAACTAGTAATTACCTGGTACCTAATAATCACTTATTGAATACTTATATACTTGCAAAACGCTTCAGTACAAATAAAAATATATTAGTATTCCTAAGAATGATGGAGATTTCATTTAAACCTAAATTATTTTGTGGCCCTGGCAACAGAGTGATGCCTAGAGTTCCCAGAAATACAAGAGAAGAAGAAGAGAAGACGAACTACATTATCAACCCAACTTCCTAACGTCACCTTCATCTTCAAACCTTTGTATCATCTAGTCAAGATGCAAATGTTCAAAGATATTCCTCTTATTATCTGAATATTCAGTTGTGTGTTGGATTCTGTTATCTGCAGCAAGTATTCAGTCCAGAATATTCACTAGAGTCTAGGGCAAGCACCTTCACGCGTTTTCCCGCGTTTTTCATGTCAGGAAATATTATGAATTTCAATAATTATTTTAAAAATGTACAGAGCTCTGAGGAAAAAACGGTTTGTGACAGTGAAATAGTTAGGGTTAGTACTTCGAAATAATGAAATTAAAGTTTTCACTGAAACAGGCCCACTGGTTCAAAATACAATTGTCTCTGACTAGATTAATAATTATTTCTTTAGAATTTTTTCTGAACACTGTGCAAAACTGAAATTTGATAGGAAGGTTTTTGCCTTCTAAAAATTTACCATTTTATTCATGAATCCCACAAAACACCAAAAAGAATCCACCTCATCTTCTAGCAGCTGCAAAATGGGAGAAAGCAAATCACTCATGCCCTGAACATAACCTAAATCAAAGTTGTACATTATGTAGGTCATAAGGATATCATTGAGTGTATGCAAATTGGTATTGTCATCACCAGCATAAAAATCCAAGGTTCTGTCTGTTCTGTTCACATCTTTTTCTATGAGACTCTTTCTATCTCTGTAATCTGAAAAGTTATCTTCTTGAACCTTGCTAATTGTTTTCCACTGGACTTTCATTTTGAAGTATTCATTGCTTCTGGATTCCACTAGTCTTTGACGCTCAGACTCTGTGCTGGACCAGGGGTAATAGTCCAAGAGGAATTTCCATACTTCTTTTCTCAAACTTGGTGTTACTCCCTAGAACAAGATATACCTATTGTCCAATATTTTATTGACTAAATTATCATCAATAGGTGTCAGAGGCAAAATTCATGATTGGTTCCAAAATTATTTGAAGAATAGGAAACAGTATGTTGATGTGAATAATACTTGTAGTTCCTTGATGAATATTACATGTGGTGTACCGCAAGGATCAGTTTTGGGGCCAATTTTATTTTTAATCTATATCAACTCAATATCTACATTAAAATTGAAAGGAAAACTAAAATTGTTTGCAGATGATACAATAATAATCTATACTTCAAAAGATTTCAACGATATCAATAATGATATTAAAAATGATTTGAAACAAATATCATCTTGGCTAACGACCAATAAGTTGACTCTTAATTATAGTAAATCTACATATATGTATATCTCAAAAAGAACAACGGATATATTGAATAATACCCCAATATGATTCAATAACAAATCCATTGAATAAACAAATGTAACAAAAGTTTTAGGTCTATATATAGATAAACAACTATCATGGACTCTACATATAGATCAATTGAGGAAAAAATTGAATCCTATTGCTGGTATTATATACAGGGTGAGTCATTGAAATGGGAAAGTGAGATAACGACTTCGCTGTTTGACATAGATGAATAAAAAATTTTGTGATGGTCTAGGCTCATGAGAAGCATATTTCTAAATTACTTTGCGTATACAGGGTGACTCAAATATGCGTGGCGTATGAAAGTTATACTTTTTATTATAGGACACCCTGTATTTTATTACATTTTCGGATTCTGCTTTGTGAGCTGATTTCATCAATGCATCACACTTGAGTCTAGCAAGAATGATTACAGAGATATAGGGTGTGCAAAATCGAGATATTTCAACTTTAGGATTTTTTTGGGTCGAAACTATTAATTATTGGTCAAAACGGCATACATGTCCCTATCTTAACTTTTGATTCACTATCTACTGATATTTAATTTGGACGAATACAGGGTAGTTCAAAATTCAGAATTATGAACCACCCTGTATTCGTTCAAATTAAAAATCAGTAGATAGGAAATCAAAAGTTAAGATAGGGACATGTATGCCGTTTTGACAAATAATGAATAGTTTCGACCCAAAAAAATCCTAAAGTTGATATATCTCGATTTTGCACACCCTATATATCTGTAATCATTCTTGTTAGACCCAAGTGTGATGCATTGATGAAATCAGCTCACAAAGGAGAATCCGAAAATGAAATGAAATACAGGGTGTCCCATAAGAAAAAGTATAACTCTGTTACGTCACGCATTTTAGGGTCACTCTGTATAAAGCGAAAAATTTTGGAAATGTGCTGCTCATGAGCCTAGATCATCACAACAACTTCTGTTCTTCTATCTCAAACAGCAAAGGCGTTATCTCACTTTCCCATTTCAATGACTCACCCGGTATAAAATTCAAAATTTCATTCCTGTTAAATACCTAAAGAGTATTTATTTCTGTCTTTTTTATTCAAATATACAATATCTAATATCTATTTGGGGAAGTACAAATATTTCACGTTTGAAGCCACTCATGAAATTACAAAATAAAACAATAAAATGCATTTTCAATTTACCTTTTTTAGAATCAACTGCGAATCTATACAAACCTAAAGACTTGCTGAATCTAGTTTCATTATATAAACTCAAAATTTGTTGTTTTATTCATTTTGTCAGGAAGGAATTGAAAATATCGCATTTGAATTTTAATGAAGTTAATATGATTCACGCCCATGAAACAAGGCAATTCAATTTATTGATAGCAAATAATTATAAGTCAAATTTTGGTAAACAATCAATATTCTATAATGGAATAATTTTGTATAACTCCTTACCTAATGAGTTGAAAAATATAGAAGAAGCAGAAGCATTTAAAATGAAATTAAAGAAATATCTGCTCAGTAAACTTTAAATCCATATCTACTAATAGTACTTATCATTCACAATTTGATTACTTGTAATGGATTTTAATATTTTCATTATATATTTTATTATAATTTTTTTTATGAGAAACAATAATTGTGCAATTATTATTGTTTTGATTTATTATGTTTTATATGTATGTTTTGTTGTATATATCCCTATTATAAACAATAATGTTTCTTGGGGTAATAAAGACAATCAATCAATAATTGATTCTTGGTGTACAAACTTACCCCTCTGAATATCAGGTTCTTCAAAGATTCTTCATCCTCAATTTTTCCTTCATAATTCATGTGCCCCTTCCACTGCTCCAAAGTCAAAGGTCTCAACCTGGGAAAATCTTTTCTATCTGGTATTTTGGCAACAACCTCATATTCACCTTGGGAATGTGTTGTAGTATTTTCATATTCTGATAAACTTCTATTCAGATCAGCTTTATCATGATCATCTATTTCTCTGTGTTCTGGACTTCTGTAAACTGGAAAGTAAATTATAAATTGTGTTATTGAATGAATTTTTAAAATATTGCCACTTTAGTATTACCATAATCTGTGACTTTGGCAAAAGCCTCAAATGTCACCTCATAAGGATGGTCCTTCAGATTTTTGAAAACACTCCACACAGTCCTATCATTGTGCTGAATATCCAGCTCAGCAAAAGACTTATTCAACTGATGAAATTCTGGGAAATCTGCATTGTACACCACATACATATGTTTATCTCTTTTTGAAGCACTTGTTTTCAACATTCTTCTCAAAGTTCCAATTAAAGTTTCACAATTGCCATGCTGGAAAACAAAAACAAATAAACAATCTCCTTTGCCATCATAAAAAGTTAGCTGTCTGCTCTTGTTTGCTACTCTAAAACTTCTTATAGCCTCAAAAGTGAATTTGATGCATTTTGATCTGCTTTGATAGTCATGGGAATAATTTCCACTGAGGGTCCTGCTTCGTTTTTGAATGGTGTTCACAACTGCCCATTCCTGATCCTGTATATCTGAATCTACTGTTATGTCATTAGGTTTCCACTCAATGTATCTTTTCCGGTTTGAACTGGGAGATTCAGTTACATAGAGTGTTCCAATTATATTCAGAAAAGTGATGTGACTAGCTGGGGCTTGTTTGAGGAGAACACCATCCTGAGAAAACACTTCCGAGCAATCTTCTGTGATATCTTCCATTGTGACTATAAATAAAAACTGGTATAGGTTAATAATACTGAAGATTTTTTATAAGTTCAACATACCTTATCCTTATCGCTGCATGCCAAGAATTCTAACAAAAGCTAATGACGAATAATGAAACTACTGATTTGAAAACGGCATTCTCTTAGGGTATTTAACAAATATGAATCATGAATTCATAAATGATGAAATGATGAAAACTATTTTTAGACAGTGAAAACCATGAATAAAATAATGATAGATTTATGACTTTTCTTATCTTGTCAACTGTTGTCAACAAAACATTTATCCTATGGGTCTGTTCATAGAATCTTTTTTATATTAAATTTTCATTTTGTTTAACAGTTATAATTTAGTCTATTTTCCATGGCCATAACAAGAGATGGACTTCGGACTTTTGGACTAAATTGAATTTTAAGTTAAATGAGAATAATAATGAGATTTATGTGAATGCGAAATAGCTCAGATAGCTGTGTGAAGTGGCAGCCAAAGATAGCAGCCAAAATCTCCGCACAACCGAACATTGCCGAAGATCCAGTGGCGAACAACATGTTTTTTTTCATGTCTGCAAATACAAAAAAAAATAAAAAATTGGCTCTATGTCTTATGATACGATGCCAGGAAGTGAAAAAGAAGAGTAGAGTAAAAAAAAAGATATTCCCAATGAACTAATTGACAATTTGACCATGGAAACAATTCCCGCAACCCATATCGGAAAAAATACCTATATCAATAAATTCAACCCAACACATAACAAAAATATTTTAAGGGTGTAAATGAAAAACTGCTGCGATGGCATAGGGAAAAATACATTCAAACATACCTAAGAAACGATTTGCCTACGAAAAAAAAACCCAATAAAAAAAAAATTGTATTCAACCCTACACATAAAAAACTATTTTAAGGGTGTGTCAAATAAAAAACGACTTCGATGACATAGGGTAGAGGGAAGTCGTTAATCTATGGTAGAAATCATTCAACAGACCTAAGGAACGATTTGACTATCGAAAATATACCCGCAACCCCTATCGCAATATATTTTTTTCTGTGACGGGAAAAAAGTTTGGCATTTAATCTCTGTTGGCAGGTTATAAAATGTCACTTTTCATAAATTACTTTTTTCCCGTGGGAAAAAAGTGAGTACTTCTTTCCCGGATATATATCACATATATATACTCTGTTAATGGCTTTAGTTGTGCTATAGTTCCGAAAAATGAGTCAATAATACCGTCTCCGAGAAAGAACTGCAAGTCCTTTTATCTTCCATTCGACTTCGCGGTTTCGTATATTACTAAACAACTACTGAATTCGCAATTTTTTAAAATCGAATCACAGAATTGAACTGACAGAAGTGACATCAGATATTTGATTACTTCAAAAGAATGATGAAGATGCCTATAAAACGCAGGTGTCCCTACTGTTAAAAACTTGAAATTTCACGTCGATAATTTTCAGATTTCGAAATGATGTAATATCTTCTCAATATTGATTCGTCCTTCCTTCTGTCACAGAAAAAAATAGTGTATTATACACGGGAAAAATATTAGATTTTAGCTCACGGTTTTTTGTCTCCCTCCGCTACGCGTCGGGAGACAACACAACCTGGAGCTAAATCTACTACTTTTTTCCCTTGTATAATAAATAACTATTATTGCGATAGGGGTATTATATTCAACTCTACACAAAAAAAAATATTTTAAGAGTGTACATGGGAAACTGCTGTGATAACATAGGGTGAAAATCATTCAAACACACCTAAGGATCGATTTGCCTATCGAAAAAAGCTTCGCAACCTCTATAAAAAAAAAAAACTATCATATTTATTAACCCTACACATTAAAAAAATGTTTTAAGGGTGTAAATGAAAAACTGTTGCGATGACATATGAGGAGAAATTGAGACAGACCTAAGGGTTTGCGGGGATTTTTTCGATAGGCAAATCATTCCTTAGATCTGTTCAAATGATTCGTACCCTATGTCATCGCAGCAGTTTTCCATACACCCTTAAAATAATTTTCTATGTAGGGTTTAATATGATATTTTTTTTCGATAGGTATTACGGGGATTTTTTCAATAGGCGAATCGTTTCTGTTTGAATGATTTCTACCCAATGCCATCACCATCACAGCAGCTTTTCATTCAAACCCTTAAAATATTTTTTATGTGTACAGACGGGTTGAATATAAATTTTTTTTTTCGATAGGGGCGTCGCGGGGATTTTTTCCATAAGCAAATAATTCTTTAGGTCTGTTTGAATGATATTTACCCTATGTCATCACAGCAGTTTTTCATCCACACCCTCAAAATATATTTTTTCATATGTTGGTTGAATTTTTTATTAATATTGTTTTTTTTTTTCGATAGGGGTTGCTGGGATTGTTTCTATGGTCAAATCGCCAATCAGTTCATTTGGTATGTTATAATTATTGTTTTAATCTATCTCATCACAGCAGTTCTTTTTATAATACCCTCAACATATTTTTTTGTATGTGGAGGCAAAAAAAAAACATGTCCGCCACTGGGTCTTCGGCAATGTTCGGAGATTTTGCCTGCTACCTTTGGTTGCTAATTTCACACAGCTGTGAAATGATATTTTCTTCTTCTTCTTCTTCTAGTATTGTGCAACATTTTTCATAACTCAAAAATAACCTAGGTTTGATGACCGACAAGATGAAGATTACTTGCAAGAGACAAACAAGCTGAAGCCTGAAGCAATAAATGAATCAAGACGAGACGAATATATGAGGTTAGAGTTAAAAGTTATAACTATAACTTCAAATTTCAATTTCAAACTTCAAAAAATATGTTAAAATGTAAACGTAACAAATAGTTTTTTAATCACATATTGTATTTATCTAATCTTGCCTTCATTATGAATATAATGTGCAGCCAGGATGAACAGAGTATAGCTACAAAAAATTTGTGCACTTCTAATACTGGTGATGAATGAGAAACATATATTATAAAGATGACTTCATTCTCAGCATGGAGAGAACTTTTTCCATCAAGATTGAGTTTAATTATTTTCGTGGTGTATATTCTCCTTTTTGTGAATCAAGGTGAGAATTCAACATTATTTTCTAAATGAATTTATAGTTTTCATTTCAATCCCACCATACATTTATTGATTGATTAATTTTTTCAGGAATATTAGTGACTGCATCACAAAAATCTGATAATCATTATGACTATAACATAGTCACAGTAGTCTTACTAACTGAAGTTCTCAAGCTTATAATATCCTCTTTTTTATATTCCCGAGAGTAAGAATTTTCAAGTCATGCTAATATAATTGAATACTTTGAATGCTTTTCACCATTTCAGAAATGGAACCAGACAATTAGTCATAGAGGTGCTCAGGAACAAAAATGTACTTATCCTTTATTTGATCCCTGCATTCTTGTACTGCTTGTACAATAATTTGGCATTCATAAACTTGTCATTGTTTGACCCCACAACATATTATTTATTATTACAATTCCGAGTGGTGGTCACTGGTATTCTATTCCAGGTGAGTTCAGAGTCTCAAAATAATACTTTGTAGGTATTATACATCATGTTTTTTTTCAGTTTATATTCAAGAAGGTTTTGAGCCAAAAGCAATGGGTTTCCTTGATAATCCTGACAGTTGGCTGCATGCTCAAACAAATGAACTTCTCCCAAGTTGATATCAAAGCAGAGGAAAATATGAAAGCATCATCAGTTAAGCTGGGATTAGATGCAATTTTCATATTTGTTCAGATTGTTTGCTCATGCTTAGCAGGAGTCTACAATGAATACTTGTTGAAAAAACAAGGTGCTGATATCAATATTTTTGTACAGAATGTATTTATGTACTTGGACTCCATAGTCTGCAACTTGATGCTGTTATTGATGAATGGAAACATACTGGATACTTTCACTTATCAAAACATCACCAAGGTGTTTCATTACAAAGTACTAGTTGTAATGGTGAATAATGCTGCTATAGGAATTGTCACAAGCTTTTTCCTCAAAACACTCAATTCTATACTTAAAACTTTTGCCAGTGCTCTGGAGCTGGTCCTGACGGCCATTTTGAGCTATATTTTCTTCAGCATTCCAATCCATTTGAATACAGTATTTGCTATTGGTACTGTTATGTTTGCCATTTGGTTATATTCTCAGAACCCAGTACAAAATCCAGCTCAAAAAACTGTAAAACATTCTGAACTTGAAGAAAAGGAAAAACTTATGGATGTGGAAGAAGTTTGATAATTATTATCTTCAAGTTTGCATTATTATAGTGATCAAAGCCATAACTGAGCAAATGCTTCAATACATTTATTGACTAATTCAGAAAAATCTTGTGAGTTTGTATGGGCATATATAAGAATTACTTCAAAATAGTCAACAGAGCTGTAAATTTAGTAGATGATAAAAATTATACTAGTATTAAAATAGGTAATTCAGAGACCTGGGCATATTCATAAAGATGGCCCTGTATATGTGTAAATAAAAAAAAAACTCTTAAAAGGAGAATTGTGATATATTTTACTAGTCCTCATAATTATTCATACTAACTGAATCATGGAAAAAAGTTTATTAGTGTAAAGTAACCACAACTATATGACTATTATAGTTTATTTTTTATCACCATCCAGGATTCCAGGAAGTTGATTATCACATATAGTATTAACCAACTGATTAGTGTGGTGATTTGAAACAATTCAATATTATTTTAACTGCAAATCACATTACAATTGTAGACACAACTTCAAAGTTTACTTTATCAATAAAATGTTGGAAAACTCAATTTGCCTTATTTATGTACAGGGTGATTAGTTGAGAGTAGCGAGCGGCAATATCTCATAAGAAATTGGTCGTATAGATTTGAGAAGAAAAAATGATAAAAGTCGACTAGAGAAACGTCAGGTAGAGGGCGTAACAACCAACACCAAGTAGAAAAATGGGATTTTTATAGAATTTTGTCTAATGAAAGTATGTCGATGATATCATTTTCATATTTACTGACCATTTCCCTACATTTTTTGTCTGAAACGTTTTGTTCTAGCGTTCTAGCCATGATGAAAATAGACTGGTGTAACCACTTGTCAATTGTTTTTTTCCAAAACGTGTAGACCGCGAAACACCGTAGCAAGGCCGCACCAGATTGAATGTAGATGGCGTAGGGAACATCGTGCCACATGAACTTCACAGATATAATGAAAATTTCACGTCTTTTACATTAAATCAATCACTTTTTCTCAATGTTTTTGAATTACGAATCAATAAACGTAAATGTAAACAACAAAACAACCATTGTGTAGCAAGATCACTTCGGGAACAGCGCCATCTAGCGTTAGTTTTGCGCGGCCTTACTACGGTTATAGAATTCGACATAATCAAGTTGGCCAGAGGTCTACAAAAATTTCTAGGGTTTTGTAAGAGGGAGCTATTTCACCATAACCATACATATATCCACCTTTGTTCTAGCTATCAAAATAAAGCGGTGGGGGAAGTTCAATTGTTTTTTCAAACAAACCAAGATTTCTCCTGTTAATTTCAACCGATTTAAGCAAACTCAGGGTAATATGAAAGAGCACAATTTGCCCTACAAAACATTCTTCCAACTTCCAAATAACGTTCATTGCATGTCAACTGATTCAGTTCAGTTCAAGTGAAATGTTTCAGTACGTTCAGAACATAGAAACATTAATCTATGATCGAAATAATAATATTTCTATGGTTCAGAACGAAAGAATATCACTATCAATGACTGTTCGACACTCTAGATATTTAGCCGTCATTGACACGATTGGTTTTTATTGAGTGACAAATGGTGACAAGACCAAATTGTGTATGACGCGGTGTGACGCACCTTGTATTCGTCCAATGAAATGATCAATATTTCGCGCGCATTCGAGCTATGGTTTGAATTTAGGTTCCATTTAATATTTTTTTTCTGGGTCAACCCCAATCGTAAGAAAATTGAAAAAATGCTGAATCCACCCAATATGTGTTCTAAATCGTGAAAAAAAATTCAAAAAATTATGGTGATATTCCCTATTGTAGATATTCTTTATTCAAATGAGTTCAAATTGAACACCAAAAAAATTGTATTATATCAATGTTTGGAGCCCCATAAGCACATATTAACAAATTTGTGATTCTGCTAAATAACACAAGCTATATAACATTGTTGTCAATTAGAATTGTACTTGTCTTCTGAAATGTGACTGAAGAATACTGTTATTTTTCATACCCAATTTCATTGAATATTTGGACTGCATTCTCTTCATGTAATGCAGGTCCTTGGCCCTCCTAGAAAAAAAATTAACCAATATTCCAAACCCTCCAAAATGAGAAAAAATAGCACTTACCTAGCAGCTGCAGCTTGTTGTGTTTCTGTCCAACCCAAAGACCTGTATTGGGCAAGAACTTTATGAAGCTTTTTATTATTGCTTGTAGAAACAACCTTAGTTGGATTCAAACTTTGCTTATAATATTTCATGAGGCTTCTATGACCCACAATGACACCTGAAGGCAGTACCAATTGATAATCAGAACCTTCCAATTCTGGAACAGCTACCTGAAATAGTAAAAAAAAAAAACAATTGGAAACTGATGCTGTTTATGAAGATATACAAGCCAACCTCCTCATCTGTGTCAATGTTTTCTGTATCTGCATCTGGATAGGATTTTGAGTAGTCATAGAAGTCAGCATATTCAGCTAAGGCTACACCTTCATGAATCATTTTGCAATGTCCTTTATCAAGCATATGTTGTCTTGCTGATTCTGCTGTATGGAATGTCCTGCCTTTATCATTGCACCATAGACACATGAAGCCTGTAAACATAATATAATGTGAAAGTAATTGATATTTGCTTTCAGTAAGAAACTTACCATCAGATATCTTTTCTCCCAAATATCTCAGTAGACCCTCCACATCTGTGCAATACTCAATATCAGGAATAAAAAATGAATGGACAACAGTCATATGTTCCAAATTCATCATCAAGTTGCGACTGTGGTGTAAACAAAAGATACAGTCATTGTTATCCATAGGATTTTCAGAAAAATCATCCCATTCATCAGAATCTACTTCTTCTACATCTGAATCAACCTCATTAGTTTTATTTGCAGAAGTATTTCGTTTCAGGGATGGAATGCTACTTGTGACACTATTTGAATCTGAATTGGACACTTTTTCATTATCTTTATGTTTCTTAGAATTCAAATGATTGTCAAAGGCATTCTGGTTACCAAAAGACTTGTGACATGCTGTGCAATAGACACTTTTGTCCTGTTTCATCAGCTCATCAGTGTTTCTTTGATTGTGTACTCTTCTTTGAAACTCTTCTGCAGTTACTGGGGGCAACTCTGCAACTTTTCTCTTCAGGTTGTATCGATGCCAGTCAGTCTTGTAATGCAATCTTTGTAATTCAGCGTCTTGAAATGCCACTCTGCATGATATGCAAGTATACGAGTCTTTACTTGATATTATAGACGACATGTTGGAGATAAACTTTGTCAATTATAACTGAAATCACGACTGAAATGTATCTATTCAAATGTTTCGTTTTCGTATCTCCGTGTGTGTCGTTTCTGATCTCGAGATGACATTAACCTTAGCTTTTTCTGAGAACATCCATCCAGCCATAACCTAGAATAATTAACGTCATAACATAACGTCAAAGATCAAGGTTAGTAGAAAAGATCAAAATCCTTGGGCCAAAGAATGCAAAGGTTTCTAATCTGGCCAATGGTCTTGTGAAGCAGACTGCACAGGCCATTGGATTAGAAGAAAGAAAGAAGAGGGTGGTATGAGGTTATTTGATTTGACTGTCATTAGACTGGGTGATCTGTTTGAAAGTATATTTTTCAATTAATCTATGGCTTCTAAGGTAATTCAGGGTTTTGTTGCCTTAGCTAATGATCGTAGTTACTGATTATTCAAGTTCAATTTGTTCTTATTTTAGTCCATAAAAACACTAGGAATTTTCCGTCAACCAGGTCTATTCGATCAAGGAATTGGAGCTGCACTTCCAGAAGCTTACAAAAAATTCTACAAAGAATGGAAATTGACTCAACCTACCGCTGTCCATTATATTCCTGAAGAGGGAAATTGGAAAAGAAATGATGTAACTGGTGAAGTGTCACCAGTCCAAAATATATCTATTCCACTTTTCTATCCAAAAGAGTCAAATGAACACATTTGGGGTGGGGAAGGTGTTGTGCAGGGCTTTCAAGCAAGAAAGAAATGTCGCAGGCGTGTGCCACATTTTTGGGTGCCGATTCTCAGAAGATCTGTTGTGTACAGTGAGGTTTTAGATAAACATATATCTGTTATTGTAACTGACAGAGCCATCAGACTCATCAATGAACATTATGGGTTTGATCATTACTTACTTAAGGTGAGTGTAATATTATATTATTGGTTGTGTAACAAAACCATCCACAATTTTCCATTGTAGAGTCCTGCCTGTGATTTACAGTCTCTATTGCCCCTAGTAATCAAAAGAAAAATCCTACAAGAACTAGAAAATGGTTGTCCAGCTTATGCTGATAGACCAGAAAAACAGGCAAAGGTTCTGGACCAGTATAAAAGTTATTTATCTGCTGTGAGTTCAAACTCAACACTGTATATTGTTTTTTTTAAACAAATATTTTTTTCAGTATACTCCAGAGGAAATCAAATGGTATGGACACAGTTTTTCACAGGCTTGCAAAATTCTTCAAGAGGAATTAGATGCAGAAAGTAAGAACAACATTGTTCCTCTGAAACAAGTTTACAGAGCTCAATTGATTGAAAAATTGAAGGCTGTGTCTTTAGATGAAACAACCTCAGGTGACACAAGCAACATCAAGTAAGTTTGAAAACTTTTGCACTTTAATATTATGGTTTCTACATTTTATTTTTTTATTATTTTATTCTAGGACAGTAGATGCAGCAGCATCCTGGTTACAAAAAATTAATCCCTTTGGAAAGAAACATGAGACATGAATTAAGTGTGTTTAGTTTGTGTTGAATAATAAATATTAGTCATTTTGTTGTACATAATTGATTTCCCTCTATGAAATGATCATATTAGTAAGAAAAATGTTACAATTTTTTAGTCCAAACACCCCTTTTGAATAGAAACTATAAATACAGGGTGTACCGTTATTTGAGTATGTGGCCAAACTTCCAGGAGTGATTATTTGCATGGGTGATTAAGAGGAGAGTTTTAAGTAAATAATTCCAGAAATGCTTCGTTTTCAAGATACAGGGTGTTGAAGTTTCAATAAAATATCTTTTATTTATTAATTATGCAAAATTATTATGTTTTCCAATTTCAATGGAACTGTTTATTGTGATTTTGTTGAAAGTATATCAAGAGTAGGGGTGGGCGATAATGATATTGAAATATCGATTATCGATATTCATAATGTATCGATATTATCGATTTATCGATAATTATCGAAATAATCGATATTACCGATATAATTATCGATTAGCTTGGAAATTATTGATTTTTCTGATTATCATTGATAATCTTTGGAAGTATCGATTTAATAGAGATTCTAAAAATATTAGAATAATAATAGTGTTCCATTTGAAATGTAGAAGTTTGCCACCACAACTAATTAGGGTTGCCACGTTGCCAGATGTCAGTTAGCTTCAGGCAAGTTGCTGTGCTGGAGTCATATGTTGTTTGAACAAGGCTAATGTACAGGGTGGCGTGTCTAATTATATTTTCATTCTTACCTCAATTCTTACCAACAGGTATCTGTTTTATACAGGGTGTTCCATATAAAAAACAAAAATACCTATTTTTCTGATGCTCATTCATTTTGATAATTTTGATATTATCGGTTATATCGATAATTTCGATGTCATCGATAATATTGATAATATCGATAATTTCGATTATTTCAATTATATCGATATTATCGATAATTCCGATAATATCGATAATTTCGATAATTCCGATAATATCGATAATTCCGATAATATCGATAATACCGATAAATCGATAATTTTTCTCCAAATTATTATCGATAATCATCGATATATCGATAATTTTTCCCACCCCTAATCAAGAGGCTTCCTTTGGTGTGATTAGATTCTGAAATATGATTCCAGTAGCGTCGAGGTGGGTTCCCTTTTCGATATTTATGGTGAATAAAGTATACCTCTACATCATAGTGTTTTCCATGCAAGTACAATATTTCTATCAGATTGAACAATTATTGAAAATACAACTTTCTTGGGCTTGGGATTACCCACCAGGCAAACACAGTTAGATCACAGAGATATCGCGCAGCGATGTAACATCAATAGTAACTGGTGCGGATATCGCATTCTATATGTTGCTGCGATGTCAGAGGGATGTTATTTTGTCCCACTCGAGTTTCATCCATGCAACGACGTCTCTGCGATATAACAGCGATTTATTTTATGCAATGTTATTGCAATATGAAATTTGTGGTGGAAAAGCGATGTATTTTGAAACGAAAAAAAAATAAAATTCCTCAAACATGGTGTGATAATTGGAAATTGGTACACACTGACTGCCGTAGACATTTATGATATATTTGATTATTAGGTTCCATGTCTGTTGGCGAGCATTATTGTATATCACTGAATGCTGAAGATGATCCCACTTGGTAATAAAGTGCATTTTTGGTATATCTCTCGCTCCAGCAAATTTCAGGATACTTACCCAACGATGACGTAAGATACAGGGGTGTTTCCATTAGAAGTGGGTCACACTGTATATGGGAGCCATAAATAAGTTAACAGAATTAAAAAATCTGTAATCCTTTGCCGAGTCGACATAGTAATGTTTATTTGGTTGATCGTATACACAGATATAGCGACTACCTCTGATACCTGATTTGAATTGATATGAATCCTATAAGTCTGTTAATTGTTCATGTGTTTCATGCATGAAAACCACAAACACCTGAAACTATATATAAAAATATATACATATAGGTTAGGTACCCTATAGCTCGTTTTACTAGACTATATATATCTATATAGTATATATGAACAACTATAACTCTGTATAGGTAATATATTATATTGATTATCAACTATATATCTGCACGCCCACGCTTAGACAGATCTATATATGGTTTTGAAACACTAATGCGAATGCGATATTTTCCTGTGATGTCGTCAATTATACCTGAATCACCATGTATAATCGCTTCATCGTGTGTTTTGAGTGGGGGGACTCGCTCTCTTCTCAACGCACTCTCTCTAGGGCATATGGGTTTCTTGACTTTCACTTCTCATTTGGTTCACGGTCTTCGGCTGGTTGTAGTAGATAAGTGATAAGTACTTCAGTTTCATATTTTGGAACGATATTCTTGTTCCATATAATAATATATAACTAGGTACTATAGGTACCATGCGTTTTTTTAGTGCGCGATGCACCTCTACTGCCAGGTTAGATGGCAAAACTGCAATAATTACGGGGGCCAATACCGGTATTGGCAAATGGACTGCAAAAGATTTTTTTGAGAGGGGTAAGTCAGTATTCTGAATAAGTATGAACATATATACATAGTGACGCATTTGAAAGCAGCGGGCCACCTTCATACATTTTATATTCATCGAGCGATTTTCACGAATTTTTTTCAGAAATGTAGAAGGAGAAAAAGTGTTTTTTGAAGCCAAGCGGCGTCCATTTGAAAACACGGTCTTAGCTCACATTCCAAGGCATAAAAATCCAGAATCCATATTAGCGATTTTTTAGCAAAAAACCGCGTACACCACTGGAATTGGCGTCATCTGAAATAGATCTGTACCAAATTTCATGAAAAAATATCCAAGAATTCTTATTCCAAAGGCCTCCCCTGCTCTATATATCTCAGATATTTGACGTGCGATCTTCACCAAATTTGGACAGATATGAAAAACCTGAAAAACCATCAATATGATCTGTTTTTCAGAGACATACATATTTTTGGACAGTGCCGTGCGTTTTTTATTGAAATGAAAAGAGATAATTCTTTATGGAATCATATCAGGAATTTTTTTCAGGGAAATTGACCTCATAATATTGTTCTTCTTGGTTTCAAACCCCCATATGTGAATTATTATTCCTATATGAAGGGTTTCAAAAAAACAGGCACATCTAGCAGCATTTTGCAATCACACTCGCGCTATATTCTATGCAGTCGCGTAATTGAGGGGGGGGGGGTCCATAATGGGGTCTGGAATACCGAAACAATCTGGTAAACAATTGTGATAATGGAAAAATAGACATGAATATAGGAAATATCACGAGAATTTCATTTGTAATTTGTTAGAACCTTCCGAACGAAAATCGGAGGTTAGTTAGGTATTCAGGTAGGTATGGTATATATCAGTTCACATGAATTTGATATCCTGCTTATCCACGTCATTGTGGGAACTTATAAATATCTTATATCATACAAGAAATTATTACAAGTAGAGAATATATGAATAATTCAGTGATTACTCTTTACTAATCATTGGATATCTCTATTGATCAATTAAAGGGAAACCTCTATAGAAGAGAACATGATATTATGTTGAATGATCAATATCGATAATATGAGACAAAGTATCTATTGCATATACTATGCAGATTTGAAATTTTCAACGTTTCGTCAATATTTTGATATTTTATATTGGGGCCATCGTCTTTTTTCTTCTCATCAGGACCGATCGTCTCTTATTGCTAATTGACCATCGAAATCTGAGAACACCAATCACATTTTCACATTATTACATTACAATTTTTTTATTCAAACTTCATTTTTATATATTTTCAAATAATTGGAGATTGATTTTCATTTCGTGGCCAGACCTGGATTTTTCAATTAATGTTTCAACTATATAAACAGTACGCAAAATAATAATAATTTTGTTGAACCATAATGGTTAAAAATGAAACAATATTTTTGCCAAAAAAATCCAAGCAACTCCTTGTATATATCGGAACAGAGAGGCATTCAGTATTCCCTAGTTCAAGCAGTTGATATTTGCGAAAATGGTAGTTTAATAAACAAAATAAACAACCTTTCATAGATAGACAAACTAAGAACAAGTAGAAATTGATAGCTATTTTTATATATCAAGGGAGGAAAGATATTCATTTCCTCCAGCGTGTGGATAAGTTTGATTAAACACTCATGGAAAGAAATGAACTTTTGCTCCCATGATATAATATTATATATATGATTTTATCAACGAACGACCGCAATTTTGAATGCATCATTCTTGAAATTGTGCTTCAGGCGGTCTATCTCTCCATCCGAATCATTTTGCATTACAATAAAGGATGAATTAAAAGTTTTGTACATTGTGTAGCTGCATTTGAAAGTTTTTATCAGAATATGAAGAAGCGTATGATATCATTGGAATTTGAAAAGGATATTATTGTTACTTGTTTTATAATAGTGATAAAGACACACTGATCACTCGGATTGCACAGATTTCATAGGTATATATCCACGCCAAAGGATGCATGCTGAAGCCAATTCATTTTACCTCCCACGGGAGTTATAATACCTATTTCCTCCCGTGGGATTAAATTGACAACTTTGTTTCCTTGAATAAGGGAGCAAACAACTACTTTTGATTCATGGAGTAGATAAAATAATAAAAGTGTGTTGATTAATTCACAACATAGAAAATATTAGTATATATCGTACAGAAACCTGTTTATATGACCTGTCAGTTTATTTTTATCAGCAGAGTTCGATCATACATATTGAGAGAAATCCATATTTGATGGAATAAAGATGTCCTTGACATTGTCCAGGGCCTCAAAGGCATCGCCAATGGTACTAATATTTATTATTTATTGATGTTATTAGTAACTAATCGAGTGTCGGTTTATACGATGTGTCTCAGAACGACTAACCATAAATTCTACAGGGTGAACGAGATACCAAAATAGGACGATTGAAATCAACTTACCTCTATACGAAAATGCACAGTTGAGCTGTGGGAGGGCGATGAATAATTTTATTTCCGGATTTCTTTCAATATTTCGAAATCCTTGAAAGGTTGCTGCTCTGAAATTCGTTGTGTATAGAAATTTGCAAAAGTCGTCGACTTGAACGTTGAGAGAAACGATGAACAATCGTTTATTATCAATTTATTGTGAGACATTTGATTGTGGTTATTGAAAACAATGATAAAACGTTGGGATGATCATTTCTGGTGAAAAAACTAAACTCAGAGATTTTTTCCTTGAATCAAGCCTTCCCATCAGATATGTTACGTTTTCAAAACCTTTTGGTCATGGTGGAATTATAATATGGTGTGCTACTCACGTATCTTGAATGCGTCTTTTCTGGGTATAACGTCATTGCGAGTCTATACCCACACCAATAATGATCACGGCGACTCAGGCGAATCGATAGCTGCGAGCTCAGCAATTGTTTTACTCGGCGCTCTGACGTATACGAAGAAGCGTCGTAGCACACCATATTATAATTCATAAACAAGTCATCTCCACAAATTTATTAACTGAATAATCAGTGTCTGAACATTTTTCCGACTATCAATAGTCCATCATCAGCAGAAGCATAGTTTGAATGACAATTTGTGGAAGTGAAAAAAAGAAAGGCAACAATAACATTAATAGCACAACAATTTACATTATTGAAAATGAATGATGAAGGGCAAATTGCCCATGGCCCAAAGGAGGCTTTATGGAGGATCCCAACACTTGTTCATTCATTTGATCAATGTTCAAGGAAAAATCAATTATAGACGTTTAATGTTTCGAACGATTCGGTAGGGTTTTTTCTAATATCATTGTGTCCAATGGGATTCACTTTTAGGCGCTAGAGCGATACTAGCTTGCAGAAATGTCCAAAAAGGCGAAAAGACCGTCGAAGACATAAAATCTCTCTCTGCTGACCAGAAAACGAACCTTGGGCAGCTCCTTGTTATGCCTTTGGACCTGTCGAGCCTGAATTCGGTGCGAACCTTCGCTGGCAAATTTCTCGAGTCCGAAGAAAGGCTCGACCTGTTGATCAACTACAATTCATTTTTCGTGGAAGAACACGAAAGATCATCTCTTTCCGCGATATTTTCACATCGAATCAATGTTGAAGGAAAAACCATTTATAGATGTTTAGTTTCGAACCATTCAGTAGCGTTTTCCTAATTTCACTGTGTCCAATTAATGGCATTCACTTTTAGGCGCTAGAGTGATACTACCTTGCAAAAATGTCCAAAATGGCGAAAAGGCCGGCGAAGACATAAAATCTCTCTCTGCTGACCAGAAAACGAACCTTGGGCAGCTCCTGGTGATGCCTTTGGACCTGTCGAGCCTGAATTCGGTGCGAACCTTCGCTGGCAAATACCTGTTGTTCAGCAATTAATTTTTCGTGCGATATTTTTACGTCGAATCAATGTTCACGGAAAAAACATTTACAGACGTGTATTGTTTCGATCCATTGAGTAGCGTTTTCCTAATGTCACTGTGTCCAATAATGGGATTCACTTTTAGGCGCTAGAGTGATACTAGCTTGCAGAAATGTCCAAAAAGGCGAAAAGGCCATTGAAGACATGAACTCTCTCTCTGCTGACCAGAAAACGAACCTTGGGGAGCTCCTGGTGATGCCTTTGAACCTATCGAGTCTGAATTCGGTGCGAACCTCTTCGCTGGCAAATACCTGTTGTTCAGCAATTGATTTTTCGTGCGATATTTTCACGTCGAATCAATGTTCAAGGAAAAAACATTTATAGACGTTTATTGTTTCGAACCATTGAGTAGCGTTTTCCTAATGTCACTGTGTCCAATGGGATTCACTTTCAGGCGCTAGAGTGATACTATAGCTTGCAGAAATGTCCAAAAAGGCGAAGAGGCCGTCGAAGACATAAAATCTCTCTCTGCTGACCAGAAAACGAACCTTGGGCAGCTCCTGGTGATGCCTTTGGACCTGTCGAGCCTGAATTCGGTGCGAATGCGAACGTTCGCTGGCAAATACCCGTTGTTCAGCACTTAATTTTTTGTGCGATATTTTTACGTCGAATCAATGCTCACGGAAAAAACATTTACAGACGTGTATTGTTTCGATCCATTGAGTAGCGTTTTCCTAATGTCACTGTGTCCAATAATGGGATTCACTTTTAGGCGCTAGAGTGATACTAGCTTGCAGAAATGTCCAAAAAGGCGAAAAGGCCGTCGAAGACATAAAATCTCTCTCTGCTGACCAGAAAACGAACCTTGGGCAGCTCCTGGTGATGCCTTTGGACCTGTCGAGCCTGAATTCGGTGCGAACCTTCGCTGGCAAATTCCTCGAGTCCGAAGAAAGGCTCGACCTGCTGATCAACAATGCCGGAGTCATGATGTGCCCAGAGATGAGAACCGAGGAGGGATTTGAGATGCAATTCGGAACGAACCATTTGGGACACTTTTTGTTGACTTTGTTGCTGCTGCCGAAAATTTGCCAGTCTACTCCTGCGAGGATAGTGAATGTTTCGTCTGTAGCTCATAGCAGTGAGTACCTATTTTGATCCAAGTAAACTAGATTATTAGTTATTGCATAACAAAGTGGAATAAACTCAGTTATTACCACAATAGTTCATAAAATGAGCGAAAATGGTAGATAACGAGAGAAAAACAACTATTTTCCTGGCCATATGTAACGACTCGTGTAGACGTACACAGTTGCAAGTGTTTCTTTCCCAAATGCCGAGTTGTGCTTGAATTGTTAATGAACGCTTGACTACCTACAGACCTCCTCTCCTTACCCTCCCTAAGTACGCACGATGATCTTCGAACATTATAGAAATTTCCTTTCGTGCGCTTCAAGCGAAAAAAGGGGTGTCCCCAGATGGCATGCATGACCGCCATCTGGTGCGAACCTGACCCACCGTAGACACCTCTCAGCATTTAATGCCAACGAGGCGTTCGACCACGACGCCGTTTAGAACAAAAGGAAAGAAACACTCCAAGAAGGATGTAGTCAGGAAAAGTAGATGGCATTTTATGAACTACCAGTTGTACCCTGCGCGTGTTGCTACGTACGGAAATAAATTTGAAGGAAAGATAGTACACACAAATTTTATTTATTTTGAGTCATATTTTATTGATTTTGTTCAAGTCGATATTTATTGAAGTGCTGTGGGATACACAATATTTCTTGTTTTTCCGTTTTTCATTGCCTGAGCAATCCACATAGAGCTGCTGTCCATGTGAGAAGCATGTATTCTCCAAATTGTATCCACACATTTTCAACGGAACCAGATTCCCAGCAGTGGTGGCTCGTGACTTTCATGACAGAGGAGGCTGAATGATATGGGATTTATTGTGAAAAACAACTTTCTACGACTCACCCAAATCAATAGCTTTCATGACATTCTGTTTTCCAGTTAACCTGAACTTGAAACTTGAAGAGATGTGTTCCTGTGATTTGCAGTGTCTATCCAATCCGCGAGGCATATTTTTCAAATCATTATATCCTAATCGCCCCCAACATGATGACTTATCGGTTGAAAATGATACGCAGTACCAACAAAATAGCTTATTCCTTACCTCAGATCCCGTCAACCAGATATATTTTTTATAATTATCAGAATTGAACGAACGATTTTGTTTGTTACAATCAGATTTTTTAATTCCGGTGTCGGACGTTTGTTTTTCACAATCAATTTATCTTCATAAGACAAAGCACTGAATGGGTTCACCAAAAAGTATTCCACTAAACCGCAATCGTTTAAAACACTCATTTTTCATAAATTCATAGAGCCCCTAACCATTAACCTAACATAAACATAAACAATGCACTCGCGCTGGATTGTCCGCAATTCGCGACGCGACACGACAAACACGTGCTATTCGGGCGTATTCGGGCATTTGCATTGCGCGCGTGGGTTTCGCTTTGTGAAGGAGTCTAGCCTCCTATAGATGTTGCCAAGTTGAATATTTTACGCGTGATTTGCAGACTTCAACGTGTGATGCGTGGGCAAGCACTGTTGCCAATTCAAAAATATTTACCTAAAAACAGGAAATAAAATCAAAGTCCATGTATTTTGGTGTCCTTTTAATGAGAAAGTATAGATAATATCAGTTTAAGGACAATCTCAGAGAAGGCTCAGCTTCCGTTGCTTCCTCTGAGAAGCCGCCACTGATTCCCAGTCAAGCAAATGATGAACAATGTTATTTATTTTTTAGTGACATCATCGATAGATTTCACGGATTTGAACTGGAATAAAAGGAGTTATAGTGCCTTGAAAGCCTACCAACAGAGCAAGTTGGCGAATGTACTCTTCACAAAAGAACTAGCTCGTAAATTCAACGGTGAGTTGATCAGCCCAAAATATTTTTCTGGTATTCGGTACACATATCCTTCTACTACCCAAGCAAACAATACATACTAGGAAGAATTAACAACAGTTTCTATGAATTTTTTCGTGACCAAAACAATACCGTTCAATATCTAATATCAAATGTTCCCATTTCGCTTTCCAAGTTTGATGGGTGTGCTCGCTATGTTGTTTTTCAAACAAATATAAAAAGTATGAAGTGAAGCTCTGACTTCATCTATTTCCTTACTGATGAGATCAACATCAATAAAATCGGTCCATAAATAAAATTGTTATTTAGTATCCAGGGCGTAAAGTAGGCTTTTATGGAAAGCAGCGTGTAAGTGAGCTATTAACACGCCTAGGTCCACAAAAGCAAGTTACGCCCAAAATATATACAACATTTTATGCACGACCGTTCTAGACATTTATTTAATGTCAATATGGAATTTATTTATGATTACTTTACCGCCCGTTCACCTACTTTACTGCCCGCTGTACTCATTGATGCTGATGATTAAACCTGATTAAACACAATTTCTCCTCTTCTGAATATCAGTTCTATTCTGCATAATTTATATTCTTCATTGATTATTGAGGAACTTAATGATTCAGTAATTGAATAATGAGATACAAGTTGTTTTTCAACAACATTCATTACATGGTTTCTGCTGGAGCTTTGGATTTATGTTCTTGAAAATAACTGATTGTAGCATTGGGAAAGAATTGTAATTATATTTGATATTAGATGTTCCTACAACTAAGTACATTATTTAATTATTGTCCATGGAAATGAGACCATCAAGGTGATCAAGAATATTATATCAGTCGAGGTAATCCGCGGATATTTTACATATAATATACAGGGTCGGGCAATAGTGCGTCACAGTCTGATTGCTCGAGTAGCTGTGATATAGCTACATAGCTACAAACATGATTCGAAAATAAATGTGGACTAGATAATAAAGCCTATAACTAGAAATTAATGCCATACACAGGGCGAGTTCGATTCTCTGAAAGGTAATTGATGGCTAAAAATAAAGGATATATGGTTCCTAAAGTCATTTTGAGAAGTTCATATTATGAAAATATGCCCTACTCTTTACTTTCGAGTTGAATTTTTTTTCCTCTTTATCATTGATTGAAACAAACTTTTTCAATGTGAAAAACTGACACGTTTATGAATAAGTACTTTCCAAAATAAGTGCGCAACGTGAATTGATCAAATGATTCAAATGTTTTCATTTCGAATACAAAATATGGTACCAGCCTACTAGTTCAAAAATAGTTTTTTCTACTCACATAACTAAAATGGCATTTAGCGTACGGATATGTACCACGCTAAATGATCGATTAATCACGAATTGACGATCTGTGATTTATTCGAAATATTAAACACGTTACCATGGCAACACGATTTCTTAAACACATTACCATGGCAACACAGTTCATTAAACACAGCTTCAGTAATTTAAGACATGTCTGGCCTGTCAATTGTATCAACTGTCAACTGTTATTTTCAAATTTTGTATCAGAATTATTCAAACAATATTCGTTTGTATCAGAATTCTTCATTGAAAACATATGCGAAATGTAGACGAAAGTGAAATCGAAGATGAGAAAAACTTGGTTCGCGAATTCATCATTCAGCCGGAAACTGCTAAGAATCACCCAGTAGCCTTGTTACTGACATTAGTGACATTTGACATTTGTCGAAATGATCAACATAGAAAATAATTTTTTTCTGTGACGGGAAAAAAGTTTGGCATTTCATTTCTGTTGGCAGGTTATAAAATGTCACTTTTCATAAATTACTTTTTTCCCGTGGGAAAAGAGTGACTACTTTTTTCCCGGATATATATCACATATGTTGATGGCTTTTGTTGTGCTATAGTTCCGAAAAATCAGTCAATATTACCGTCTTCGAGAAAGAACTGCAAGTCTTTTTATCTTCCATTGGACTTCGCGGTCACGTATACTAAACAACCACTGAATTCGCAATTTTTTTAAATCAAATCACATAATTGGACTGACAGAAGTGAAATCAGATATTTGATTTCTTCAAAAGAATGATAAAGATGCCTACAACGCAGGTGTCCCTACTGTTAAAAATTTCAAATTTCACGTCGATAATTTTCAGATTTCAAAATAATGTAATATCTTATCAATATTGATTCGTCCTGTCTTCTGTCACAGAAAAAAATAGTGTATTATACACGGGAAAAATATTAGATTTTAGCTAACGGTTTTTTGTCTCCCTTCGCTATACGCGTCGGGAGACAACACAACCTGGAGCTAAAATCTACTACTTTTTTCCCTTGTATAATAAATAACTATCCTTGTGTTAGAAAACAGGGATTAAAATCGTGTCAGAAACTTGGAAAGGCGAACCCGTTAACGGAAAATCTTCGATGAAATCCATATTTTCGACTTAAATGCAGATTCCGTGAGTTATAGCATAAACGGTGTATGTTTGGTTGCCTATAAAACAATCGTGCATCAATAGACAAATTGATCATTAATAGGGGTCATTGATGAACGATTTCAAGAACATTAAACTTACTCGTCAATACAAGATCGACGGAAAAATAACAATTAACCAAGTCGTAAATTTTCCACAGAAAATAACATCACTGGCGTTACGACCTACAGCCTCCATCCAGGCGTCATCAGAACCGAACTGGGCAGACACATGAGCAAAACCTACTTCTCAGGTGTCAGATGGTTCTGGGACAACATAGCAGGCCATTTCATCAAGACCCCCGAACAAGGCGCGCAGACGCAAATCCACTGTGCAGTGGACGAATCATGTGCCAAGGACACCGGTTTATACTACTCAGAATGCAGCGTTGTCGAACCCTCCAAGTTAGCCAAAGACGAAGAAACGGCTAGTACGTTGTGGAGCAAGAGTTTGGAGCTGGTGGGACTGGAACCGGACTATAACCCCTTCAAAAATCTTAAATAATTATCTATTAATCAAAATACATGGTGTTCTCAAAATCACCAAAAATCGCACATATATTAAAGTTGCAGAATAATGAAGTTCGAAAACTCACCGATAAAAATAGCTCTATTGCCTAACACCAGAACACTTATACAAAATAGGCACAACCACATATTTTTAGGCTGCCCAAACAGAACACAACAAAACACAGAATTATACGACAAAACCTGGCCACCCTCTCACGAACACCCATAGACATCAGCACGCTACTGAAAAAACCTCTTTCAACATCAGTTAAACTCCTTGTAAGATACGTATCAGAAAACGGACTGAAGCTTTAACCCCGCTTTAAACATACCTACCCAATATTCCTCAAGCTTAGCATGGCATGAAAATATTCATATAAAACCACAATAATGGTTGACGGTACCTACCACAAATATCTTTTGTTAACAGAAACCATCTACTCCTCTACCCATTCTGGCATACCCTGGTGTAAACCCATGTGTGAAGCTCTGGACACACTATACAGAGCGAGAAGAGTCTTATTACCTTTGTAAACCCCCATCCTACTCATGAAGGGCATGGACAAGGTTTCCAGATGCACAGTAGTGTGCACCTTTCAGGGAAGATTGCAATAAGCAAAGATACCATAATTGGCTGTATGTCCTTTGACAAGAGGCCACAAAACTAGAAGAAGAAGAACAAAAATAGCTCTATTACGGTGGTATATTTACCATTTCGGGTGGTACAGAGGCCTTCTCACATGTTCTCCTCTTTGTTCCTGCAAAACACACTGTGACACGATACCTTCGTACCAAATTAACAAACATTCGCGGTGTTGAAGGATTTCTTAACGGAAGTCTCTGTGTATAAAGTAAATGTTGCTGCTGCTGCTGTTGCACTTTGGTGACACTCGCTATGAATCGGAGCAATATCGGAGGCATGTAAAAAAGTTCATTGATTTCGTGTGAGTGCTACATTGTTTGACACTGCTGACACTGCATAGAAAAAACAATTGAGAAAGTGGATCCAATGACTAGCACTATACCAGCATAACTCAAGTGTGCTTCGCGGAACCACAGTGCTTCGAAAGCCATCGGTAGGGCTCCGCTGAGAGTCAGAATGAAACCAATGAATTCATGGTGTTTCCTCATGTTCTAGTTCCCTCGAAAAGGGATATCCTGTATTGTTCAGAGAACATCATGAGAACCAAGGAAATTAGGGTAGGAATTGGTGTTCTTATTAAATTTCTGGAGGTTATATGCCTCGGGGAACACCTCCCTTAGTAATGTGTACCTATATTTATTATTTCGGGTGGTACAGAGCCTCGCGCTGTTCGTTGAACGAGTTTTCGGAAAGAGATGTTCTGTAGGTCTCCAAAGTGACCACGAAGGGGTGCGAAGCCTCAACTCGACGGGTTAATCTCGCGGGGACTGCCAAGGAAGGAACAATTGTTGGTATTTCAGAAGAGCATCGTCCATGAAAAAATCTATGAAATAGAGCCAGATCCCCAACTCTTCTACGGTGTTCCAGAAAAGTGAGCGAGTTTGTGAGCGAGGCATCCCTACGAAACGAATTGCCTTCTTTTGGACAGAATTCAACAATTTCAGGGTATGTTTGGGTGATACACTCCAAATATGGGATTAGTATTCCAGGACAGGTCGGATCTGTACGTGCCTGATTATAGATCATAAACAGCTGACTGGAAGTGAAATAGCTCCTGGCCCGATACAGAAAACCAAGTTTTTGGGATACACTTTTAGCAATTGATCTCACGTGATTTTCCCGAGAAGTGAATAAGAATGAAGCTCGAAATAAAGGTACCTAAAACGAAAATGGGAGATCGAAACGAAACGCTCACTTCAACAATTTTATTGATTAATTTTTGGGGCAGTGTTCGTGATGAATTTCCACAACTTGACACCGTTTCCAAACATGTTATTGTGTGAAACTGGAATTTCAGCATACTATTATACAAATATAGAAACTGAACACCGCAATAGACTGAATGCCGAACCAGACATGAAATTTCAACATCTTCTATAAAGCTTGGCAACATACAAAGTTGATGGGGGGGAATAAGAAACAATGTCATGCCTTCCATTTACTGTATCTACCTTTTGAATCCTGAAAAATGCACATAAAAATAGTTTTGCTTTCAGTTTTTCTCATCTCTTGGAGCGCACTAAAGGAAATTCCTATAATGTTCGAAACACGTCGTACGTACCTAGGGAGGATATAAGGAGGATATAGGTGTTGAATTTTTTTAACTTTTAGAAGGTCCCGTTAAGTTTTTCAAGAGGGTTCCGTCACCAAAAAAGTTTGAAAACCGCTGCCGGCTAGACAAACAAAATTCTACTGTGGAAAGTACTGAAAGTAGTAGGGGGAGGGGTTATCAGTCATGTGATCACCGAACAGAGACCCGTGTGCGGACAGGACCGTAATGAAATTCTCTTTAAAATGTATATATATTGAATCGAATATCTCCGTTATAATGCAACTTTTATTTAGGCGATATTTGGTGAATGAATTCTACATCCTCTCAAAAAAATTGCTCACTTTTGAAAATACTTTGTACATGATACTGTATTGCAATGTTCATTTTTCATGGTTTCTTTGTTGATTCCATGTTGATTCAGTGCGGTCACATTGACGAGTTCAACTTTATCTGAAGTGTACGACGTCATCAGGAGTTCACCGCTTATTCTGAACAATAATGATTGTATGTTGCTCTAATAGTGATAATATCTTATTGCTCGAAAACATTTTTAGCCAATAAGAGTTGAAGCAGAATATAAACTGGTGGAGGCTTTCAAAAACCACCAAATAACAAGATATTTTTGACCAAACTAAGCTTTGAAAAAATTCTCAATCTCACTTTGAAGATATCATCAACATGTAGTTACTTTGGCGGAGATTTGAACAACGACATAACAATAAATCTTCACTCTCTGCTCATTATGTAATGGGAATTGTCATGAATAAATAGTTCGAAGTAAAATGTCGATTGTATATTTCATGGAAGTTATGATTAAGTCTACCAAACCTAATCGAGTTTTATTGAAAATATCACCCAGTGCAATGAGTGCCAAATGTTCAATTAAACGTACAAAAGTATGTTTTGCTACATCTGTAAACAAAATTGCACTTTCTTAATATATTTTGTGTGCCTAATGTGTAAAAATTTTCTATATCAAAATACTGTTTTATTATTTCATGAAAAACTGTGAAAGAATGCTTGCGTGAAAGGGGTCCGCCCATACACTATACCTCAACGAAAAAGTCTGTTCAAACAAAAATGACTCAAAACCGAAGCGTTTGGCTGCAAAATGATCGTTTTCGTTAGCCACACGCACACCACACACTTCAGTTTTGCGTAATTTTTGTACAATACAGCCCACAAACAACGTAGTATATGGGCTCCTATACGGGATTCAGCAAGGCAGCAAGCGAACAAATCAAGGCGGCTGACTTCGTATTTTGTATGGAGTGCCAGTGAAATAGAGATGGGAGCAGGAAGAAGGCGCCACCATATCCTCGCGTATTAGACAAAAATATGGTCGCATCTCATATATAATTTGATCAGAAACGCTGATCGCGAGTGGGATGAGGGATTTGTTCAGATTAGCCGATGGTGGCTCTGGCTATTTCGTTCTTAGAAACCAGGTGTTATCAATAGTGACATGAAATGAATAAATAATGTACTTGATTATAATTGCGAAATATGATTTAGTCATGCACATCATAAATAACTATTTCTTAGAGAAAATTGAGAAAAATAAGTAACAATCACATTTATCTTTATCACAAAGTAGCGAATAATACTGATGAAATCGTATAAAAAACTCTGCCTCCATTTCTTCAAATATTCTTGGCTTCTTCAACAGATTCTGGTAACTTGATTCCAAGAGTCTCCGGTAGTTTGATGGCCAGAAGACCTGCCAAAATAGCGACTGCTCCGAAGGTTATCATGGGTAGGGAAGGGTGATGAAGTCCCTAACAATAAAAAATAATAATTAAACTAGACATGCCTTCCTTCATTCTCAATAATCGTTATGAATATGCTATGAGAGCATTCCAATTTCTCAGCTTTGACATAAATAACATTCAGTTCAATTTCCGTTCTATATCAATAACACTCACCAATAGGGGGACGAATGGGGCCAAAAGTGCCCCTAACCTAGCCACAGTCGAGGCGGTCCCAACTCCCCCACTTCTTATCACTGTAGGAAGCATCTCAGCTGTGTGGACATAAACTACCCCGAAAGCCGAGGTCACCCCCAATTTTCCGATCAGGAACAGCACAATCACCCCCCAGTTACTTCCAGAAGTGTCGCTGATAAAAATAGTCAGAGTACAAGTCACTCCACAAAGTAACAGTGAACCTGGGAGGATGAAAACATGGATTATTCCGATTATATCACAAGTTTCAATGTAATTTACTTTTAAACAAAAAACTTAGGAATACCTATGAGCGAAATTCTTCTTCCTAGCTTCTGGATGCAGATCCAAGCAATGGAGTAACCTGGAATCTCGATCAGGCACACCAAAGCGAAGTTGAGGTATTTGTTGCCTCCCAAACTGGTAGAGTTTATGCTCAGACCATAGTAGATAAAAGCGTTGATTCCCCAGATGAAGTAGACGATAAGGAATCGGATTAACAGCTTCCGAGATGACAGCATTTGCTTGGCAACTACCAATATCCTCTCTGTTTCCTTGTGGACACCACCACCCTACATAAACATACACCAAAGAGCTATTGCCGATAAAACAGAAATCACGGGTATATACCTTGGCCTTGAGAGGTGAGGATTCTCTGAAGGAATCAACGACTGAATCAGAAAGCACTACCCTATTGATTCTGGCTACTTTGAATACAATCTTCTTGGCATCATGTTTCCTCCTGTTGGCGAGAAGCCATCTCACTGACTCTGGAATTACCCTATAATGGCTTATTAGTGTCCTGAACATCCTAAGAAAATGGAGGTGTCCTCACCAATAGTAGCCTAGGAAGAGTATAGCTGGCACTGAAACTATCAGCTGTATCTGGACCCAGTCTTGAGTGTACCATGCTATGGGAGCTACCACTGCCTCTCCGATAGCATAAAAATAGTTGAGAACGATGCCAGTGACCTCCCTTTTTCTTTTTCCCACCATTTCGACACCTACAACAGAAGGTTTGGGCAGATGAACTAGGAGGATCGGTAGTTTCGTTTACCGAAAATGAATGCCAGAGGGTATACTCCCGATGTTCCTAGGGAGTTGACGAAAACCAGGATGGCAAAAGTGATGTAGTTTGGCGACAAAACTTGAAGAGCTCCAGAGATGCTCATGAGGAGGATGCAGAAGATGAATACTAGTTTTCTGCCATATCTGGAAGAAAATATCATAGTAGATCATCAAAAATACCCAAAGTAGATGATTATATTTCGGAATAATGAAGGCTAACATTTTTATATCAAATCAAAAATCTTTTTTACTTCACCTGTCTGCTAAAATGCCGAATACCAGGGAACCAACCACTATTCCAGCGAAGTGAGAAGATCCAACTAATGATATCTTCCACTGATTCTCTATACATGTTATATTCCACTGAAAAAATAGAACAGTCTTTCAAACATGTATGAACAGTTTTCTGCCACAAGTTGAAACAATAACTTTCATCCTCTACATATATATATATATATATATATATATATATATATATATATATAGATGTCACTTGTCACTTCTTTGAGACTGCCCAAAGACTGCCGTGGGCATATTATGTGAAGTTTTCATAGAATAGAAATTGCTGTTAATAATGACTTTCCCATCTCTCTGATTAATAAACTCGTCTTCAGATATTTTAACAAATTTTCCAACCATTTCTTGACCAATATTGAACCTCCTACAACCAAATTTCTCTCCTTAACTTATTTTGGCTCTGTTTGTTTCACCCAAGCTTAGAAAAGTTCTCAGTAAGAAACTTATGATAATTCAATTCAAAAAATCTTTTCATACAAATAGTCAATACCAAAGATCCCATTTCTGATTCAGACAAATCTGGTGTCTACCTTCCAAAATGTTCCGAACCGAATTGTAAGGAGTGTTACATAGGTCAGACGGGCCGCATATTCAGCGCTAGGATTACTGAACATATTCGTACCATTGATATTAATTTTGAAAAAGATTTCCTTGATTTCAACTCTGTGTTTCCTAACCACATCATCAATGAAAAACATTCATTTGTTCCAAATTCTGATCTCAAATTGTTACACTGTTGTCATGAAAGCAAAAAAACTGAACTCATGAACTTGAAAATCTTGAAAATTATAAAGCCCTGTGAAACCCTGATTTTTCTGTCCATTTCAATTCGTTTCGGAGAAATTTTGATTGAATCTATTGATGAAAGGATGAATATATTGCCCCACGACATGTTTCTACAAAGCGACAAAAAAAATGAGATTATCACTCTTTTGAACGAGATACTGCAATTCTAAACTAAGATACCTCAACAATAAGTTACTTCATTTGAAAAAAATGAAGAGACAACAAAATCCACCATTTTGTATGGATTGAAATTATAAATTTCCTTCTAGCAACATTTCGGCTCGAATGATCGTGAAAGACAAAGCTGCATCGAACCATCTTAGCAGGAAATTTCGAATGTGGGCCTTATTACACCTTGGGCCTTATTTGCCTCAGGTACCCTATATGTATCCTCAGTAGAAATATATACAGGGTGTTTCAAAAAAACCTAACCCCCTCACTAGGGTAGGTAGGGTTTACTCAGTAAAAAAATTTCGTAACGGCATCCGTTATCAAGATACAAGGTGTTGAAAAAATATTTTTTTTACACATTTTTCAAGATTATGTCTAAACTATTGACAACATTGTGGTCAAATTTTGTATGGATGTTTCTTGCAATCTGACACATCTCATGCATCTATTTTTATATCTGACTCTCATAGAGGGCGCTAGTCACACGTTTCGTACCGAGTAGTTTTGAACATAACTTTTTTGAGGTTAGATTTTTCAATCAAAATTTGATGCGAACTTGAACATCATTCAATTCCACACCAAAAAGGTACTCTTGGTAAAACTCGATACTATGTTCCGTTTTCGGAATATTTCGATTTGAAAATGATGAAGTGATAACTGTTGCTGATATAAAGCTATGTATTAGAGTGAATATTTCTGATGCAAAACTCATTGATTCAACTATGAATCATAATAATAACATCGAAACAGATTTGACTAAGAACATGGATTACAGTTTTGTTGTATCTTGAGCAGAAAGTTTATGCTACATAGGAAAATTCACGTCGAGAGTTGTAAGACATAATTGAACATCACTTAAATGACCCAACAGCTGATTCTCAACAATATACATTCTCAAAAGAAAAGGATATAGAATCGATGTAAGTATTCGTCGAAACGTAGGAAGCGTAGGACATTTTGAACACTTACTCTAACTGATTCAATATTTCATGTTTCTAGTCAAATATCTTTCAATTTTCTACTTATGATTCTTTGTTTCATCAATGACTTCAGTACGAGAATGATTTTATTGTTGTTGAATCTGAATAAATAGGTAATTGAACTCAATTAAATTCATTTTATACCAGCATTAGCCATTATTTTCAAATCGAAATATTCCGAAACCGGAACATTGTATCGAGTTCCACCAAGAGTACCTTTTAGGTGTATTTTGAATGATGTTCAAGTTCATATCATATCTGGATTGAAAAATCTAACCTCAAAAAAGTTATGTTCTAAACTACTCGGTACGAACCGTATAACTAGCGCCCTCTATGAGAGTCAGATATGAAAAGAAATCCATGCGATGTGTCAGATATCAAGGAACACCCATACAAAATTTCATTACAATGTTGCCAGTAGTTTCGACATAATCGTGAAAAATGTGTAAAAAAATAATTTTTTCAACACCTTGTATTTTGAAAACGGATACCGTTACGACATTTTTTCACTGAGCAACCCCAACTTATTTTGCAGTGTTCTACCTACCCTAGCAAGGGAGTCAGGTTTTTTTGAAACACCCTGTAGATCAGTAGCAGGTATAATAATATAGCGTCAGATATGTACCACCACCCCCTCTTAATTCGATAAGTTCTACCGTTTGTTTGGCATGACAATCAAATTTCTGATGGAAGGTAAATCATTACTGTGATCTTGGTATGTTTCTGAATATATACTAACCTCATTGACAATTGTCCTTTCGACATCATCAAAAATCCACTCATTGCATTTTTCCAAGGTTTTAGTAAAACTTTCTGGCGAGCAAGTGCTGCTTAGATCTGAATCATTCTTCGGCATGTATCTTAGGCACGAGTCAGTTTTGACACCAATCACTTGGTTGTCATTGGATTCCGTTGGGATAGCCCATTTCAACCAAGGTGTGTCGTATGTAGTTTGGTGCTGATCCTCACATTCTGGTATGAAACATCTAAATTAATAAAACAAATGAAGGAGATTTTATAATGATCGAATCAGATGATACTGACCTATAGTTTGGAATTCCAGCAGTGAAAACGTAACTCAAACTGTTGGAGGCTGCGAAAAGAACTGGAAAGCATACTAGTATATAGGTGAATATTTGGAATCGCCCAAGCTCCCCCAATTCTTCTAGCATATCATCGAAGTCTAATATTCGATCTTCCTCCATCTCACTCGGTCTGGAACAAGACGTACAGATCATACAGATTTTAAATATTTTTATCACAGTTTCAATAAGACTATTCATCAAGTAGGAACAGCCCCAGCGAGCACAAAAACATCTCAGAGATGTTAATAGTACGAGATTTCGAGACATTGAACCTCCACTGCGATGTTCTGGTCACACATGAATAGAACTATTATAGAATAGCCAATGTCCGCCGCATGCGGCAATTATCGAGATGTCCTTGATATGTCGCAAAACTACCTTCTCCTTAGTTCTTTTTAAAGCCTTTTCATGGACACAACAAAACATTTTCAACGCGTCTTGCGCACATTAAATCGCTGTAAAAAACATTTTCGAGGTACTTTTCTGAAGCCTTTTGTCAAAATGAACTTTTGCATTAGGATTCCATTTCCCTTGAATGAAAAAATGTATTAAAAATAGATTGAACATAAAAATATTTTCTTGATATGAAATTACCTTCTTAATCGGTTTCTGAGTAGTGCTTACTATACACACTGACATATAATTGGGAATAGGTTTCCGAATTTTTGAAATGTTCTCCACAATGCATAATTTTGCAACTGCGGAGAAGCTGTGTATTGATAAATTCGTACTTTTATATATTGATTACACTGAGGCACCGAACAACACATCTTGCATCTGATGGTCATTATTACAAACTAAATAAGTCTTCTAACACAATAATAAACTTCACCAAATTCCTTTCTGTTCGTTAGCAGCGTGATGTGAGCGTGACACGCTGCTAACGCGAATGCCAATTGCGAACAAGAAGAACAAAATCGAAAACAAATCAGAATTCATCGTATTGTGACGTAAGCATGAGACGTTGTGGTGGGGCAAACAGAGAAAGGGCACAAATGAACAAAAACAATACTTTCAATATCCTTCTAAGACCTCTTTGGGAAGTGCATATTACGCCTCAAAAAAACATCCTCATGCCTACATTTCTGAAACATCCCAAAACATCCCAGGGATACCTCTCAGTAGGCAAACAAAGAAATGCCACAGAAGAACAAAAACAATACTTCAATATCCTTCAGAGACCTCTTTGGTCAGTGCATATTACGTCTCAAAATAACATCTTCATGCCAACATTTTCAAAACATCCCAAAACATCCCAGGGATGTTTGTGCTCGCTGGGTACAGTGTAACCAAAAAAGGAAACACACACAAAGGGTTTCTTTTAGTATATAAGGAATATCAAATGATATGAGAGTTGCGAATTCCTAAAGTTCATGAATAATTACCCCAATTTATCAAATAAAAAACGACAAAAAAATATATGTAGATGATGCTAATGGATTTATGATATTATGAAGTATACTATTGGTAGTGAAGCGAGAGTAGTCTAAATCTTTATCAATATTTGTTATGCAAAGTTTGTTTTGCATTTTTGATATGAACTCTACTATCATTGTTGATGATAAAACGAATCTACCTTGAATGCATTGTTATGAAAATGTATACCACTTGTACACTTTCAGGTATCTCACTATCAATATCACACCTACTTATATCAAATCTTAGTCAATGGCACAATGGAAATATTCAGTAGGAGAGATTATTATAAAGTGATTTAGTAGCAACGTTGGATCTTTTGAAAAATGAATATCATTATCACCGTGATTGTGATTGGTAGAACTAGAACACATATATATTAATTATAGATTTTAGTAGTATAGAGAATGGAAATGAAGAGTGATTGATGTAGAACCAAGATGCATAAAACGTTAATACTTATAGTAGGTGGTTATAAATAATATGCTATATACAGTGTGTGCGATTTCAACCGGCAACACCCTCCTAATTCGGAACACGTCGACTGATTTTCAGAAACAAAAATTCCATAATATGCCACTCAACGAGCTCTTCTCGAAAATGTGGACAAATTTGAAATATTCAGATTTTCAAGGCCTAGTTTTGTTTGTTGAAGGGGTCAAAAACCAAAAACCACTATTAGGCATTTTTTTCGAAACTGTGACTTTCCTATTCGATTCAAGCATAGCTGAAATACCTCCATACGAAATTTAAATGAAAAATCTCATATAGGGTGTTAGTTATAAAATGGCAAATTTTGATAATTTTGATTTTTCGATTCACCCTGTATCAAAATCTGAGGAGTTGATGTAACCAGTGAAGTAGTTATTCGATAGAGGAACACATCGAATACATAGGTACGAAGTTTCATCGCTGTAACTTCTACAGGAAGATCTCTCTAGATCAACCAAAAATCAATAAAACTAAAGTTGAGATTCATCATTCTGAAAACTCAATTAAACTGTATTTCACACTCTACACCAAACAGTCACTTTGAAAATTGTCTTGTTTGATAAAGAGCTGTCGAATATAACACAAATGAAATGACAGACAAATACTCTCTAAAGACTGCTAGGAGATATATAGTACAGTATGATGCAAATGTATGGAATAAATTCATTTCAAAATAAGACGACTTCCGAAAAAAATACAAAAACTAGACTTCAGAACTTTATCAATTGATGTATTTTTTTAAATAGACGACCCTTCGTTGTTCAATTCTCAGTGGCAGACCTCTGCAAGATCCAGTTAAGCAAATGATAATCCATTTTAATCTCAATTTTCTTATGCAAAATTTTGACTGTTGAATAGACGATCAGTAGATCTTTCAAACGAGGTGTCACATGACCCCTGTTTTCATTTGAAAAAATCTTTCATTACGTCATTACTCCAACACCGGTGACGTAACATCTCTCATATGGATATCATGATATGATAGGCTTCAAAAATGAAACCTCACGTGTTTTTGGAATATTTTCAAATGTCGCCCATTTCTGAAATAATGAATTTATTCCATACATTTGCATCATACTGTATATGTTTATTGTGATCATAATAATACACCGATTTTGGCGAAATGGAATGAAAATTTGAGATGACAATGAAAATTTTTATGTATTGAGAATATTTCTCCGAATTAGTCACCATTATCTATATTTTCTAAAAAAAAGTTATGGATCATAATAAAAAACTTCGATTTCAATTTCATTAAATATTGGTTGACCTATCTTCCTGTAGTAGTTACAGCGATGAAATTTCGTTCCTAAGTATTCGATATGCTCCTCAATTGAATAACTACTTCACTGATTATATCAACTCCTTAGATTTTGATACAGGGTGAATCGAAAAATCAAAAATATCAAAATTCTCCATTGAATAACTAACACTCTATATGAGATTTTGCGTTCAAATTTCGTATGAATCAAATAGGCTAGTAATTTTTTTGGGAAAAATTGCCTGATAGTCGTTCTTGATATTTTGACACTTTCAACAAACAAAAGTAGGACTTGAGATTCTGAATATTTCAAAATTGTCCACATTTTCGAATAAAGCTCATTGAGTGCTATGTTATGGAATTTTTGTTTTTGAAAATCGATCGACGGGATTTAAATTAGGAGGGTGTTGCGGGTTGAATTCGCACACACTGTATATTGAATGATGACCGCGTTTATAAAATTACAACGTCGACAAGTGATTCCTTCTGATGCTTTGATGCTAATGACTAAACCTGCTTCAATCTTCGATCACACGATGATTACGAATATCGATGAGCCGTCGATTCTGCTCCGCTTGTGATAAGGCATTCCTTAGGCGTTCTTCTCAATTACGGGGTGATTTGAACATTATTATTAATATATCGAGAATTGGGAGGATATCTTATCAATAATCTTTCTCGACTGATTTGTTTTCGATAATATATCTGGATGAACCTAACGAAATGTCTTATATTGTGAGAAATCACTAAGGCTAAGGTATACTAGATAGTATTGGCATCCATTTTATGCATCTTGGGAAAAATATGGACTGTCAGTCATTTGTAATATATAGATGAAGTTGCGGCTTGCGGCTAGATGTTAATTACTCAAATTAAGATCGACAAATAAATTGTTGGTTCTTGGAGTATAGATAATGATTGATGTGACTCATTGATTTATTATTCTTTCCACATGCACAACAATTTTTTTGATACAACTTCGATGATCTGAAAAACATGATTACCTAAACCAGCATGACCAAAAAAGTAATATGATGACCCAATGAAAATTATTACCGAAACAATAAGTATGTTTCGTTTATGCATGCACAGATTGAGAACGAATTATTCAATGTTCCTATGACTACACTGAGTAGATCATTTGGCTGTACAATAATACAATGAAATTGTAATAGATATAGGGAAGATGGGAATCATTCGAATCTTTTAATTTGATCAAATTAGAAGATTTGTTGAATTCAAGCATATTAATAGAATATTCATCAATGATTTACAGTTGTTATCTTGAAATGTTCACAAAATCTTTAGGTTGATACATTACAATCAATACATAGGTATACACTGACAACTATTTCGAAACTAATAAACAGTTTAAATCAAATTGACTTGAGTGAAGAATAATTGTTGTTATAACAACATTGAATATTAGAGTATAAGCGAAATTTGAAGACTTTACATGTATCAGTAAATGACATATATTTTTTTCGCAATAATTGATGGTTTGGGTTCTCATGAATGACTGACAACATAAAAAAATACTTAGTGTTATCAGTGGTAAACAAATAGTATATTTGAGAAGCTGACGATAGGGTTTATTAGGAAAAATCGAGTAAATTCGTCTCATGATAAGAATATTAAGTATAGCTCACAATTTCTCAGATGAAAATCAATTTTCATACATCTGCAAGCCACTCTTCTGATGATTGGGTTTGGCACTACATCAGGAAGAATTATTGCAAGGATTAGGGGATAGCTGTCAAAATTCCTGGAAAATCTATGTCAAACTTTTGCTGAGGCGAATTGACTATAGTACCTTTTCATAAATATTAGTAATGGCCTATAATGTGATTAGTTCTGTACCTCGAATTAAATGAGACATAGGTTCTGGATATCTAAAAAAATCATCATACCCGCATGTTATTTCTTAATTCATATAAAATAATAACAAATTGCAGTTCTGTTCATAGTAAATTGGGTTCCGGTCGATGCAGGTCATGATGGGTAGTGTGATATTCTATTGTTTTTTTGTTATATATGTTGCTGTGAATATTGCCAATGCCACTGGCGATAAGTATTGTCGGCTGCCCTGTTATCAAGGCACACATACAGTGTGTAATCGTGAAAAAAAGGTAAGAAAAAAAAAGGGATTATTTCTGGAAATTCATTAGAATTTTTTATGATATGCCTCTCTTTTGATAATATTTTCTATAAGCTTATAGAACTTCAGATCGTTGGATTGAGTAGAATGGAGAATTTATATAGCTTCATAGAAAAATAATCAATATAGGAATAGAAGAATATAAGTTTTTGATTTGTGCATCCATTTATTTCTTTACTGCTATTGTTTATTAAATTATTGATTATCTATGTAGAATTGTTGAATGTTCAATTTGATAAATGAACCTATTCTCACAGAATTATCAGAAATTCACGACTAAGATCGAAACACATTAAAATACCAATATGTAGTATATCGTCGAGATAAGAATGAAAAGGGCTATTCGAATCTGATATCAAAATATCAGGACCGTATTTGGAAAAAATAAGTTGATGACGGAACGTTGGAATAGAAAATCGATGATGCCAAATTGAATATCATCAAAAGTTGCCTGCAGGTGTTTTTTCAGTTTCCTCATACTTCTTCATTGGAGCCAGAAAAAAATAAAATTGAAAATCCGGAAATTCCGTTCTTTGTAAATAACTCAAAAAGTAAAAGTCATAAACAAGATGAAAGTTCTTGGGTACCTTTGACAAATTCTCCTTGTTTTTTGTTTCAAGAAATGTGGACCCGAGCCCAAATGTGGTCCAGACTTCAGAGTGATAAAGTTGAAAGATGATGAGCGACAGGCCATTTTGGATCTTCACAATCAACTAAGGAACAAGGTTGCCTTAGGTCAAGAAGGAAAACAACCATCTGCGTCGAATATGAGGGCATTAGTAGGTTTTTTTGAGATTAAGCTTTCTTACCCTTTTTCTCATCTTAGTTTTCATTATAAACTGTCACTGTATTCGTTCAGGAGAACGCAAGTGGATTCTTTGATTTTTTTTGGATTGTTATGTTGTTCTTTTTCAGAAATTTTCCTTTCGTTGTTACTGAGTCGGGAGAAAGAACTCTACCATTTAGGAAAATAAAATATAGGGTGTTCCATTTGAAAAATGCCCATAATGTCCATAACAATTAGTTAAGTTTTCCCATTTGAACGTATCTGTGAAACCAATAATAACTGAGAAAGCAATTGAGTAAAATTTGAACAATCACCCTGTACATTAAATTCTTTGAAGATTGTGCTTCATCTGATTTGTCCTTACTATAAATATTTACTAACATCTTTGTATAGAATCGACGAGATAACATACCAAAAGTTTAGAGCAAGGAAGGGATCAAAGTTTTCGAACAAAAGGGGTTTCAATAATTTGCGATAAATATTTTTTTAAATTTATTGGGATTGGTTTGTGAGCGATAACAAAATATCACGTTTTGTTATACAGGCTGTGTTTAAGAAGTTGATATTCTATCTGAACACCCTATAAAAGTACCTCGAATAATACGGATTTTTCGAAACAAAAAAAAATGGCATTTTTTTTCATTCTTCACCCTTGATTTTCCTCAAATATTAATGATGCATCCTGTTGGATTTGGTGTTTAATTTTACAGTGTAGATTCCCAGTTGAAATAATGATATCACCTTGTATACCTACCTGATCGAAGCTGTACGTTGATATCATTTTTCATGTTGTATTTTCCAGAGTTACAATAGGGAATTAGAATTTGTCGCACAATGCTGGGCGAATGCTTGCAATGGAAATCCTTTGAAACATGATGATTGTCGAAGTACAAGTGAGTAAAGGCATTGTTGATTCTAATAGTAGACCAAAGCGGTACTTTTAATCCCGATTCGCTGAGGAATTAAATAAAACTTTGGTCTCGTGGTTTATACAACGTGTCTCACGGCCTCCCCTCTATAATTATATCTCAGCTATTTGCCATTTTCACTAAACTTGGACTGATATGAATTTTTCAGATGCGTTCATGATTTAGGACAGTGCCTTATTTTATTAAAATGTAAGGGGGAATCATATTACAGGAAGACCGACCTCATAATATTGTTTTTCTACTCACATAACTAAAAGGGCATTTAGCGTACGGATATACCTACGTACCACGCTAAATGATCGATTAATCACGGAATGACGATCTGTGATTTATTCAAAATATTAAACACGTTACCATGGCAACACGATTTCTTAAACACATTACCATGGTAACACAGTTCATTAAACACAGCTTCAGTAATTTGAGACATGTCTGGCCTGTCAATAGTATTAACTGTCAAATGTCATTTTCGAATTTTGTATCAGAATTATTCAAACAATTTTCGTTTGTATCAGAATTCTTCTTTAAAAATATATGCAAAATGTGAACGAAAGTGAAATCGAAGAGAATGTTCTGGTACTTGCATATCTCCAAGAAGTATAAAAATGAAGCATCCATCTTTGAGAACAATTTATTCATTCTGCGCTAAGCATGACAATGAACGTGAAACAAAGATTAGTAAGCAATGGACTCGACAAATATCACTTATAGGTGACTCGCTGGTTGCATGCAGTTGCATGTATCATGTTCTCAATTCCCATTCCTCTCGAATCATTTTGTAGGTTAGCAGGAATAGCAGGTATGTTAATGTAATTTTCGGAGTTCGTAGGAAAAACATAGTATGTAACGCGTTTATAAACTCTTCTAGACACTCGTTTATTAAACACTCGCTCCGCTCTACTCCGCTCGTGCTTAAAATAATCGTTACTAAAAGGACGTTTATAACACTTGTTACATAATATACTATTCTCATCATGGTTTTAAACTCCGATATGTGAATTTCCATAGCATTTCTATGGGGGGCTTGAAAAAACTGGCACATCTGAATGGCATTCTTGCGAACGTAAATAATTACTCATCTATTCGGAAACGATGTGTTTCCTCATCAATCAAATTATCATTGTTTTACCTACCAGAGCAGTCGAACGTTTCAAAATGTGCGGTTAATTTGAATCCACTTTTTATTGAGGCAGAAAATGAGAAGAATTAAGCCAATTCTGTTGATTTGGAATGTGGTGTTTTTCTGCATATAATTTCAAAAAAATAACGACCCTTTTTGTTTCAATAAAATCGCACGGCACTGTCCAAAAGGATGTTCGTCTCTGAGAAACTGATCAAATTGATGGTTATTCATATCGGTGCAAATTGAGATATAGAGGGAGGGCCGTTCAAAGTGAGATGTGCTGTATACTATGTTATGCATTTCACGAGTGAAAAAATAAAAGAATCATGAAAATATAATGAAAGAGTTTCGTACTCGTAGCGGTAGTCAACTTTGCTGACTGATGGATGCAGGCATGGTATTATTGTTGTACGACCTTCTCAATCCCTCGAATGAGGGATAAAAAGTACCCTTTTATTCCCTGAAGTGCATTCACTACTTTATTTTTATACTATTGAGATTCGGAGAATTCAATAATTTTATGAACGAGAGTTATTTTTCAGCTGACTTTGAGAACGTTGGACAGAACCTTGCAAGAAGAAGCAGTACAAGTTCTGCGGTAGATGTACCAAAAATAATTAAAGACTTTATCATGGGTTGGTACAACGAAGTTAACGAATACGATCCAAGTTCAGTGAGTGGAAGTGGCCTTTGGTGAGTAAATTTTTCCACAGCTGACCATATCACTTTACCGCCATTGATCTAAAAAATTTCAAGTTTCTTCGACTTTTTTGTTGCGATTTGTGAATTGTTCCATTACCAGTGTAAACACCTCATTTTAATTCTATTGCTACTTATGCTATACAGGGTGAGTCAAGAGGAACTGTACATACTCCTACCACGAATAAAGGCCCCTGAGGGGAATACCGAATGTCCATCAGAAAGTGTCTTCTACACTTCTTTTCCAATATAGAGTGTGTCCCACTTACCATGCTCACCATGGGTATCTTTTTAACGGTGAGAGATACGAGGTCGGTTGAATGACACCAAATGTGGAGTTTGTCAAGGCCAATTATAATGTGAAAAAATATTTTGATAAAATCTATTTGTTTTTGTTTGTCGCAGTAATAGTTTTGTGTTGATAACAACGGAGTTATCGTCATTTATACAGAAACAAAAAATTATTTGGAAGCCGCTATCTTGAATTTATGAATTTTACCAAAAAATCATGATCTTTGACCTCAAAAACCCCGCTTTCCAATTTTTAATGGAATCGGACCAAATCTTGTCCGCCATCTTGGAGCAGCCATTTTTTTAAAGATTTGGTCCGATTCCATTCAAAATTGGTAAGTAGGGGTTTTTGAGGCGAAGATCATGATTTTTCTGTTACAATTTATAAATTCAAGATGGCGGATCTCAAATAATTTTTTGTTTTTGTATAAATGACGATTACTCCGTTGTTATCAACACAAAACTATTACTGCGACATATCATCTGTGAGAGAAAAGTAAGTTATTTTTAACTAAGTAATAGTGAGCTATGACCTACATTTGAAGAACTAAACTTGGTGCTGATATCTCAAATTCTATAAGCGAGTTTGTATAAATTCCATATTTTTTCGAAATCACTTTGAAAAACTGCCATGAGAATGTGGAATTCCTATTTGAATATTTTCATAAATAAAGAAGTTACGGAGGAGACATGAAAATGATCAAAATCTGTTTTTTGCATATAAAACAAAAACGAATAGATTTAATCAAAATATGTTTTCACATTATAGTTGGCCTTGACAAACTCCTCATTTGGTGTCATTTAACCGACCTCGTATCTCTCACCGTTAAAAAGATACCCATGGTGAGCATGGTAAGTGGGACACACTGTATAGGTTGAATTATGAGATTTGGTGAAAACATCTTCTGGTCATAAATTTCCAAGAGCTTCTTTGATTCGTCTGATTTTTTTCATGGAATATCCCGCTACAACCCTTTAATTGACTGACTTACTCAGAATTAGGAAAATCCAGGACCGTTCTTGAAAAATTTTGATAGTTCAGTTTATAGCAAAAAGTTCATCCTGTATATCGTTTTTGTGAACTGTGACAGGGAATTTTCAAGGGTCACAAACAAAAATCAAAAACGATAAATTTGTCAAAAAAATTATTTATTTGGGAATTAATACTTCGCAACCCATAAATTTTACGAATAAAAGTGATACTTACATTTTCAATGCTTCAGCTCAATGGAAATCAACATATTTTATTTTCAGGCCTGGGTTTGGTGATTCAATTTTTTTGTGGAGGATAATAATCACCCTGTAGATGAGGTATATGTGAAAATGTTGATGGCCATCGCTATAAATAATTTTTTGATTTCAATTCACAGTTTTATTTATTCGATTTGTTTTATTCAGTTAATTTGGTCACTTGTATGTGTATGTGTATTTGTGGGCGGTCCGGGACCTGACGCACTTAGGCCTCCCTTTTCGGGCCCATTGTGCACCCACATTCCTGGGATCGCAAGTCAGCCATGGAGAAGGCCGATCTCGCGAGCAAAAGAGACCAACTTTCTAGGCCAAATCTTTTTAACATCCTCTGGGTCCAGGATACTGCTCCCAAAATGGATATCCCTTGCTGCCACTACTGCCGGGCATTCAGTGAGGATGTGAGTAGAAGTCTCTTCATCCTCTAGGCACCATCTGCATTCAGGATCCTCCACAATCCCGATCATGCTTGTTCAGGTGGCAGTGCCTTTTCAGAAGGCCGACCACCAGTTTCAGCTCCTTCCTGTTCAAAGCCAAGAGGACATTGGTCTGTCTCCGTGACGGGTTTCCTATATGGAGTTTGGACTGCCTCATTCGAGGAGCCTTTCTCCAGCTGTCCAGAAACCTTTCCGTCAGGATTTTCTTCATCTTGAAGTTGCTCCAGGATCGAGTGACCCCTAAGATTGGCTCTGGGCCAATCACTGAACCCTTCGCCTCCTTTCTGGCCAGACCATCGGCAATTTGGTCACTTATTTTCCATACTAGAGTTATTATCCGCCTTGGTCCCAGTACAGCTTTTGAAAAATATTTTCGAGTTAACCTTTATTTTCTGTTCGACTATCTTGAATTATTTGAATCGATGACCGTTACCATCTGAACAGATACCCCACCCACTGATTTGAAAAAGATCTACAGGGTGATTATTACTCCCCACAAAAAATGAAATGACGAAATCCAGGTCTGGAAATGAAAGAACATGTTGATTTCCATTGGGTTAAAGCATTGAAAATGTGGGTCTTACTTTTATTTGTGAAATTTATGCGTTGCGAAGTAATTACTTGCGAATGAATAAAATGTGTTTTCAAACTTTCGTTTTTGCTCATAATTTATCGTATTTTGAAAAATTCTGTGAAAGTGTGAGGATAATTTCGAATATTTTATTTTTGATGCTTGTTTGTGTGCTCTGAAAATTCCCTGTCACAGTTTACAAAAACCATATACAGGATGAACTTTTGGATTCAAACTAAACTATCGACATTTTTCAAAAACGGTCCTGCATTTTCTCGATTCTGAATAGGTCAGTCGATCAGGATTTAGTAGAGAAATATTCCATGAAAAAATCAGACTAATCGAAGGAGCTGTTGAAAAGCTATGACCAAAAGATGTTTTTGCCAAATCTCATAATTCACCCTATACAGGGTGTTTCATTACTAATTGATAATATTTCAACCATGAAATCCCGAACTTAAAATATGAAGATTCAACCCAATTCACCTAGATGAAATATGTGTCCTGTCTGAGTTACAGGGTGTTTTATTCAAAAATTTTGAAATGTTTTTTGCCCAGTCGTTCTTCAAAACTATTTGACGTATCACTTTCATATTTGGAGGGAAGTTTAGATATTATACTTTTAAATGAATTATGTGAAATGGACTTTTCTAGCTATTACAAGAGGCGTACAGGGGCAAGTGACTGGTTGATCCTCCCCAAATTCTACACCACTGGTGAAATTGCAATTTTATCAGGATTTTTCGATGCTTCAATACCTTTCTTCGTAAATATTGAACTCTTTGTTCATAGCGATAAATTCATTATTTTTCGAGATATTTCAAGTTAAACATGAAGCAGCACAATTATTTTGAATCTAATGTGTATCAATAATGTCGATATTTTGGATCAATGGACTGCATTCATCAATTAAAAACATAACAGACGAGAGCTGTTACAGGGCGTTTTATTTTTTTTAATATATTACATAATTAAACACCCTGTAACAGCTCCTGTCTGTTATGTTATTATGTTTTTATTGTTGATATGGATTGAAGTTTCATTTTATTGATGAATACAATCTATTGATCCAAAATATTGACAAATTGCATATTGAAATCAAAATGATTGTGCAGATTTATGTTTTAACTTGAAATAACTCGAAAAATAATGACTTCATCGCCATGGAGAAGGAGTACAATATCTACGTCAAAATTGTTGGAGAATCGAAAATTTGTGATAGAATTGCAATTCCGCCAGTGGCGTAGAATTTGGGAGGGATCAACCAGTTAATTGCCCCTGTCGTACGCCTCTGGTAATAGCTAGAAAAGTTCATTTCACATTATTCAGTTGGGTGTATAATCTTTACACTTCCCTCCAAATATGAAAGTGATATGTCAAATAGTTTTGAAGAACTGGGCAAAAAACATTTCAAAATTTTCGAATAAAACACCCTGTAACTCAGACAGGAGACATATTTTATCTAGGTGATTTGGGTTAAATCTTCATATTTTGAGTTCGGGATTCTATGGTTGAAATATTTCCGATTAGTAATGAAACACCCTGTATATTGGTGAAGAAGAGAAGAAGACAGTTTCTGATGGTCATTATAGGTATTCATAACTCACCCTGTATAGATTGAATTAAAAACGAAACTGCATTATTCGAACCTCATTAAGTTTTGGAAAGTCCTATACCTGGGAAAAATAAGAGATGAGATAAAAATGTCACCTTGTACACTTCTCGATTTTCTATAGGTCCTCTAGTACTGGCCATTACACTCAGATGGTGTGGGCCGATACAACCGAAGTAGGATGTGCAGTATCCTACTATTCTGCCAAAAATTTGGGACGAAAGTGGTACAGTGTGCTACTGGCTTGCAACTACGGCCCTGCAGGCAACTATTTGGGACGTCCGGTATACATAACTGGCAGTCCAGCTACTGGATGTCCCGGTGGACGCCCCAATAGGAAATACAAAGGGTTGTGTGGAGGCGATAAAAGCTTGAAGGAAACAAAGATATTTAGGAATGATTTCTTTAATGTAACTATCTGAGATTTTATTTTATTTGGGTGTTAAGTATCGTATCTATTATACATATACTTAGTTGTAATTAATGTTGAAAGAATATGTTTCTTTGATGGGTAAAAAGTTTGATATACCGTCTCTGCTGATAGGTTACTAAATGTCACTTTTCATAATAGTATATTATGTAATAAGTGTTATAAACGTCCTTTTAGTAACGAGTCTTTTAAGCACGAGCGGAGCAGAGCGGAGCGAGTGTTTAACAAACGAGTGTCTAGAAGAGTTTATAAACGCGTTACATATACTATGCTTTTTCTACAAACTCCGAAAATTATATCAACATACCTGCTATTCCTGCTAACCTTCAAAATAATTCGAAAGGAATGGGAATTGAGAACATAATACATGCAACTGCATGCAACCAGCGAGACACGTATAAGTGATATTGGTTGTAGATTTGTCCAGTCCATTGATTACTTACCTTTGTTTCACATTTATTGTCATGCTTAGCACAGAATAAATAAACTGTTCTCAAAGATGGATGCCTCTCATTTTTACACTTCTTGGAGATATGCAAGTACCAAAACATTCTCTTCGATTTCACTTTCGTCCACATTTCGCATATATTTTCAATGATGAATTCTGATACAAACGAAAATTGTTTGAATAATTCTGATACAAAATTCGAAAATAACAGTTGACAGTTCCTACAATTGACAGGCCAGACATGTCTCAAATTGCTGAAGCTGTGTTTAATGAACTGTGTTGCCATGGTAATGTGTTTCAGAAATCGTGTTGCCATGGTAACGTGTTTAATATTTTGAATAAATCACAGATCGTCATCAATCCGTGATTAATCGATCATTTAGCGTGGTACATATCCGTACGCTAAATCCCATTTCAGTTATGTGAGTAGAAAAAACACTGGTGGCCATTTTCCAAAATGGACGCACGGGAGACATCAGAAGTTAGATTAAGTTTGCTGCTAAAGGCTAAAGGTCTGTGAGTGTTTATTGAATGTTTCGAATGTAATTATGTGTTTTTAAATGTATACCGCGTGTCCACATAGTGTGGAAGATTTCTATAGCTCCCTTCCAATGAGAGGAGACATTCTTTTTGGGGATATAGTACAATATCGGTATAGGTCTCTCTGAAGCAAATTTATTCTGATCTCTACAGGATATTTTTCGAACGCGAAGCAACAAGATTGCTGATTTCCTTTATTGATTTAAAGATTGATGGAAAAGATTTAATAAATTCAAATAACATGCCCCCCGGGACGCCACTGGATTCCATGATTCCAATTGAAATATGGCTATATCAGCCCCTCATGACAAAGAATATCATTGCCGAATTTCAAAAAATCGGTGGAAGGACATTTGAGATATTCATCTTTTTTAAAAGTTTTAACACACTGTATGTTGAAAACTATGCATTTCCAAACCCACGTATATATGAAAAGAATTTCTTATTTTATCATGTAGAATCACCCCCTTGATTTTTTGCGCATAATTTCCGGACACCCTGTATATAGAACTGCAAATAAAATCTTTGGAATTCTTTGCCAAAAGTATCCCCACTGAGAACTTATAATCACCAAAAATTCAAACATCAGAAATCTATTATACCCTATCGTCCATATTATTTACGCACGATATTCCTCGAATGAGGAGTTCCTTTCGTAAGCTCCAAGAGATGAAAACAATCATTGATTCGTCATACAAAACTATATCAATACCAAATTCGTGATGTAGTTTTAGCGAAGTGAATAATGAAAGAGAAGCTGTTGAATAAGTGTGTGTTAATGAGAATATGAGTTTTATGAAATTCCTAAAAAAATATTCATTGTTGATAAAAAATTACTGCAATAGAGCACGTCGTATGACGTTACTTCCTTTCCTTTTATCAGCAATCAATCATAAGCGCATTATTGAAAATATACTAGTACATTTTTCAATACAGAAAATCAAAATTTCAATTAGCTATACTTTGAGGAAGATAAATTCTATGGGATTCTATATTATGAATTATGAAACTGTATACGAATAAACACTGCCAAGTATTTGGTTTTGTAAATTCATGATCATCATAAAAACTGATTTGAACAGTTGAGATAGATTACACAATATATGTTATTACGGATTCCTGTATATACTGTATAAGTATATAGCTTCCATGTAGCGATTATTTTCAATGACAAAAAAATAGAGCTCGTGACTGAAAAAATACTTATAGTAGATATATATATATATATATAGAACGGGGAGATCTATAAAGATGACCATTTCAATATCGATATATGAAAATTGTATAAAGTCTTCTAAGTCATCATAAAGTATGTGACATTTCTAACAAAATAATGGAGTATAGACTCTCAAATATAGATATAATAAACAAAGTGGTTCAAATATTTTGACCATATAATATCAAAATGACTTCTTGTATCTCCTCAATAAATGGCGGTATAGACACCTCATAATATCAGGGTGCATTTGAATTTGAATCAAAATATCGTTTGTTATTTTCTTTCTTGCACGGGTAAATACCTATTCCTCAAAACAGATATTTCAACTATTGGTAGGTATATCATGACATAATAATACCTCTCTGACTCTATCATCTTCCTAAATTCAATAGAACTCAGAAACAAAAAAAATCTACAAAATCATGAGGTGTGATGATATTATTATAATGTAATTATATAGATGATCCACAAAAATCCTTGAATTATTTTTATTATTCAATTCAGACCGTGTTCGACCTATTGCAAAAAAAAACACCTTCGAAGCGTTGAGCAGAATTTATACATTCCTTTGTTTTATAGTTCCCTCACGAGTGGCTATGGAATCACGGAAGAGAAGTTGAAATTTTTAATGTTCAATAATTATTTCAAACGATATATTATACCTTCAGTTGTTCCTCACGATCTCATCAAAACGAGTTGCACCGCCAGAGATGATCTCCAGAGTCTCCGATTGTATTATCATTTTCATTCACATTCTCAGCGCGGGAGCTTTCCATAACAAATATTGTCAATTACAATGTTTCGAAAATTTAACAAATACAGTGTGTACTAGGGGAGATCAGGTAAGAACTTTCGCCCTTTTTTCATACATACAGTGTCATTCATAAAGTCGGCATCAAATGGGAAAAACTTTTATTAAGGACTTATTTTGGAATTCGAGTTGGACGTTAAGTTTTGCTTCAAAAAATATGAAAAATGGCCTACTCAATCGGGGTCACGTGACTTTCGTTACATGTTAAAAGTGACATTTTTTCAAATTAACCGCTGAAAGTAGGCTTATTTGTTCGAATATCGAAAAAGTTTACTTGAAAAAGTTGTTTCTATTTCAATTTTACACATGCTTCTCGAATTTAATCTTTCTATTGCAACTTTTAGATTTTGATTTTTTTTTAATTTTTCGAAATTTCTAATATTTGGAGAATTGTTAATTCCACGAAACTACTTCATACCAGTAGCTTTTTCATGCTACTTACTTTCAATTACTTATTACCACTGATTATGGACAGAAATATGATATTTTTCAGAAAATGATAATATCCGCTTCCAAATTCTGTTATGTTTGATGCAAAGTTGATATATCGTCAAGCATTCAGAAACAAAATTCATTTAAACTGATCTTTTCAGTACTGGAAAATAAATTCAAATGAATTTCGTTTCTGAATGCTCGCTTCAAACATAACAGAATTTTGAAGCTGAGATTATCATTTTCTGAAGAAAATCATATATTTTTGTCGATAATTAGTGATAATTAGTAATTGAAAGTTAGTAGCATGATGAGACTACTGGTATGAAGTAGTTTTATCGAATTAACAATTTTTTTAATATCACAGAAATTTCGAAAATTTTAAAAAAATATCGAAATCTAAAAAATGTAATAGAAAGATAAAATCCGAGTTACATATGTAAAATTCAAATAGAAACAACTTTTTCAAGTAAACTTTTTCGATATTCGAACAAATAAGCCTACTTTCAGCGAATAATTTGAAAAAATGTCACTTTTGACATGTAGCGAAAGTCAGGTGACCCCGTTTGAGTAGGCCATTTTTTATCTTTTTTGAAGCAAAACTTAACGTCCAACTCGAATTTCAAAATAAGTCATTAATAAAAGTTTTTCCCATATGATGCCGACTTTATGAATGACACTGTATATCCATAACACAAAAGCACAAAATCGCTCATCAGAAAGCTGCGAAAGCTTCTTCGAATAATTCATATTTTTTATTTGAATTCGAATTTTTTTCTTCAAATCCAGGCTTTTTCCTTCGAATTTAACATTTTTGTCCGAAATGAGACTTATTTCTGAACTGCGGCTGTTTCTTTCCTCTAATATTTGTGTATACAGGGTGCTGAAAAATTACACGGCCAAAAATAATGAGCACATATTCCTATGCATGAAAAGTGTATTTTTTTTTAGGAAAACACTTCGATTTCTATACAAGGTGCAACTTCAGATGACTGTTGTTAAACGTAGTGGCTTATTGGAGGTATATACACGCGTGGTACGATATAGTTGTCATTTTTTTTTAATAGTCAGTCTAATTTTGAATGAAACGTGAAGGATGTACAGTCGTCTTCAGAGATCATGTCGCGGTTGGACGGTGTCAGCACTCTTATTGCAGGAGTTATTAAGAATGCTATCATCGTCCATAGGCGACATGTTTTCTGAAGATGACTGTACCTACCATGAATCAGAATATGATATGCTCATTCATTTCATTACCAGCGTTCAACAATAATCAAATGGAATATGTTTCAGTAGTTGCACCCTGTATATCATAGGAACGAAGGGTCCTACTGCAAAAATATCACTAGGAAACTTTGATTTTTCTCTAAAGAATATGCGCTCGTGATTTTCAGGATGATGTCGTATTCTTTTATAATTTCAAAATTCCCGCTTTTGTTATTCATCTTCAAGTTGGTCATGCTGACGAACTTCATGTCATTTTTGAATTTTATATATGTCAATGTTCCTTGCCTGCCTATGATGATTGACATATAGGTTAGTTATGATTTGCCCGCCATTTTGAGAATGCTAACTCGTTTCATCTGATTTATTAGAAAAATTTAAGATAGAAGTAATACAGAGTTTTGGAAGGAGAATACGAGTTTATTCCTTAGAACTAAGCGGAAAATGTCGGAATTCAAAGAGGAAATTTTGGAATTCGAAGAAAAAGTCTAAATTCAGAGAAGAAAGTCTGAATTTGAAGAAGAATATTTGAATTCAGAGAAAAAAGTCTGGATGACAATGGAAATACCAACTTCTTTGCAGACTTTTCAGATGAAGGAAATAATGATTGTTTCAGAAATGTGGACCAGATCCAGTGTGTGGCACGGACTTTCGCGTCATAAAGTTGAGCAACGATGACAGGCAATATATTCTCGATATTCACAACTATTTGAGGAACAAAGTTGCTTTAGGACATGAAAAACGTGGAGAACAACCTTCAGCTGCCAATATGAATGCCATGGTGAGAAATATGTTCACCAAAATCACGTACTTGGCCAACTAAGAATCCAGAGTTCGATACCTCTGTTGTCTTGAGAGATACAAAAAAAAGTTTCGCATTCAAATTAAAGTGATAACCGAGCTTCACATTTCAAAATTTCTTTGAAATACACAGGGTGTTCTGTAAGGTCACAGCACATCAAAGCTATGTTTTTTTCATTAGAACACCCTATATTTTATTTCATTTTTGAATTCTCCCTGGAGATCTGATTTCAACGACCCATCATACTTAGGGTCTAGCAGTGAGAGTTAATGACATATAGGGTGTGCAAAATCGAGATTTTCCAAGTTCAGGATTTTTTTCTGTCGAAACTGTCCCTATATCTCAACTTTTCTTTCACTATCAATTATTGGTGTTCAATTGACATTTAATTAAAACAAATTATAAATTTAGATTTTGTGACCACCTTGGATCAATTTCAATTGAACACCAATTGATAGTGAGTGAAAAGTTGAGATAGGGAAATGTAAACCGTTTTGACGAATAATGAACAGTTTCGACAGAAAAAAATCCTGAACTTGGAAAATCTCGATTTTGCACAACCTATATGTCAGTAACTTTCACTGCTAGACCATAAGTATGATGTGTCGTTGAAATCAGATCTGCAGGGAGAATTCAAAAATGAAATAAAATATAGGTTGTTCATATGAAACAAACATAAATTTGATATGCTGTTACCTCATGGAACACCCTGTATATTCCAAAATAATTTTGAAATGTGCAGCTCGGTTATTACTTCAATTTTGATACCTGACTTTTTGTTTGTATCTCTCAAGACAACAGAGAAATCGAACTCTGGAGTCTTAGTTGGCCACCCTGTACAATGTATGTGCATCTCTTGTTCTTTATTGAATATCATGCGGACCACCTCGCATATTATTATTACGAATTCAAGTATACCGAGATATGAGAAGTATCTAGAGGGTGTTGCAAAATTCAAACGAACTCGAATATCATATTTTGTGATATAAAATAATTTGTAAGTTTGTTTGTCTTTCGAATATTTCCATTTCCATGTCATGATCATTGAGCATATACATATTATGAGAGAGTTTTTTGCGATATCTTACATAATTATGGGGTTGGTCAAAACTAACAAGAGCAAATTTATATAATCTTAATGAAAAGTAATAAGAAACCATCAGACACTATATAATATTTCCATTTTTTTTTGTAAATTTGCCAAAATACAGGTTGTTTGGTTCACCGAGGTATATCTGGAAGGAAGTGGTAGGCGATATGGTATAGGTAATGTGATTTTGAACATATTTAACATATATACACGGTGGATGTTACAGTAAATACTTTTTTTGAATTCTAATGAGCCAAAACATTCTTCAACACATTTTACGTGTTTAATATCGATGAAATACGTTTCCAACTTTTTGAGAAAGAAAGTTATCCCAGATGAACTGCTTCACCACTTTCACAAAAATTATCATCAAACTCGGTAAAATTCGGGAAAATAAATCTCTATATGCGGTTAAATATGTTCAAGTTCTAACCTATCACCCGCTTTCAGATATCATGTCGGTAAACCAAACAAACTGTATAATTTTAGATGAAGGCAAATGATACAAAATTCGACTGATAGTGTAATATACCTATATAGCTATTCTATGTATAATTTCACTCACCTCATTCAAGGCTATGTGATAATGCAGAATGTAATGTATAAAAACAGAATATTGAATAATATCTAATAAGATATTCCAACAAATCCAATCACACACATAAAAAGTTCAATGATAAATGATCAATTGAATGGTTGAAACATGAAACATTACGAAATACCACAACGTTATTCATATTATTCGATCATTGCTATTCGCACAATGTATAGAAGATATCTAATATAAATAGGTACCTACCTACTGATTCGTATTCAAATATCACTTGGTGTTTATTTCGGTTCACACCACATGTGCCACAAAACAAGTTCACTATGATGTGTGATACGAGGGCTGTACGATAAATTTAATACTCTATTTTATTGATGATTACAATAATGTCGAATAGGATATGCCGATATGCCCGATATTGTAATGTCTGGCTCCACCATCCCCACCAAGCCCACCATATCTATGCTCGGTATTTCCATCAGCAACACTCTTTCATGGGATAATCATGTCAGATCCATCGCAAAAGCTGCTTCACAAAAACTCGGATTCTTGTTCCGTGCGAAAAGCTACTTTACACCTCAACAGCTTCTCATGATCTACAAAGCGCAGATACGGCCCGTTCTAGAATACTGTTCCCACATATGGGGTTCAGCACCAAAACATACGCTGATGCTCTTAGATTCCATCCAGAGAAGAGCCATTCGCCTGGTGGGTGACGCCACACTCACTCACTCTTTGACATCATTGGAACACCGTAGAAAGGTCGGCGACCTTTCACTTTTTCATCGATACTTCCACGGGAAATGTTCTTCGGAAATCTCTGCTATCATTCCTTCACTATCAATACCAATCAGACGAACTAGACAAGCCCAGTCAGCACATCCTTTCGTTGTCAACCTCGAAAGATGTCGAACAGCACTTTATCAAGACTCCTTCATCCATAGAACGGCTAGGCTCTGGAATTCATTGCCTGTAGAAGTATTCCCAACAACATATAATCTCCAAAAGTTCAAAAAAAATTCCAATACCTACCTCCTGTCCCTATCCTCCCTGGGAACGCACGATGTTCTTTTAACATTATAGGGATTCCTTTTCATGCGCTCCAAGCGATAAAAAAAAGGAATTTTCTTATGAAATATCACGAAAGCTTCAATTACCACCGTACTTTTTTCGAAAACACGAATATTTTGAAAATTCTCCGAGTCGAAGACGAGAGAGAATTTTGTTCGAGAAAAAAATTTGGTTTTTAATTGAACCTTGATAGTGTTATGCGATAGGAAATTTCCACACCGAAATAAAATGAAAAAAACAAAATAGGAGAAGATCAGGATTAGTCTTGACTTACTTTCGCTAACTTTATTCCACTGAAGTTCGTAGAAACATATTTTGTTACAAGGAACTTGAAGCAGTATGTTCTTATGTAGTATTAATAAAATTCACACCCATAACATTGTGAGGTTGAATAAAACTCAATTAGGTACCTTATTTACACGAAATAATGGAAATTATTATTTCAATATATGAGTAGTAGAACATATCAGATGATTCCCAAAATGTCACTGCGTTTAACAAAGTGTTCTATCTTGGTTCTATCAAGGTGTCTAAAAGAAAAATCCAATAGCTTGATATCAGTGACACTTTGTCTAGATAAATGTTTGAAGAGAAGAATTATAGACATATTGAAAAAATATCGAATTGTTACTTATCTTTGAACGTTTCTGAAACGAATCTGCTCCCATTCTCAACATAAAAATGCAACATATCTTTCTTCGAAAATGTTTTTCTTATAGTCCTATATCTGGAATTCTTGCCTGTATATCGATACTTTCTTATATTGAAAGGATCCTGCATGCAATGCCTGTTTGATCTCAATATATATATGTGCATAGTGTTCATTAGACTGAATGATTTTCATTTACGAATCTCCAGTTTTTCTTCGTCTGAAGTAGTGTCTGAATTACCTATGATTGTTTTTTTTTTAGAGTTACGATAGAGAACTGGAATTCATTGCTCAGTGTTGGGCAAACGCTTGCAAGGGAAATCCATTGGTTCATGATGTTTGCCGAAGATCACGTGAGTCTTTTCCTTACTTGTTTACCTTGTTGGAATTTTCGGATCTACTGGATGTTTCCGAAATTGAAACAATAAAAAAAGGGCGTGCTGTTTGAGACATATAGTAACACAAAAAATCGATCAGATATATTTTTCAAGTACCTACCTGTAATTCAATGATGCCCGAAACCTGTACATGATTTTACGTTTTATTTCAACATTCAACTAAATTTTATTGACCGTCTGGCAACATTGTAGAATCTTTCTACCCTTTGGAGCATCATGTACAAAAATACATTTTCCGGAATTGTTACATAAATGTTTTTTCTATGACTGTTGAAAACTAGACCCTTTTAATGTAACATTTTTGTTGGGTAACTGGATGCATTACACAAAACAAGCCACGCCCCGTGTGTAAGAGTCTTTACACAACAGGCTATGGCCAATCAGCAACAAAGCAGATTCATTACCTACAAAACAGTTGACACCCGAGTTGACACCAGTTGTAATGATAATATGGGGCATGCAGTGAAACGTTTGAATCAGACTCGTCATGAAATGTCATAATTTGGCAATAGCTATCTGGCGTGATTTAGAACTGACATTTTGTACAAATATTGTTGTTATTATATAGTTTTCCTATATAATAGTGGAGATGAAATCAGAATGACTGTTAACTGACATGGACTTGACAATCTATTTATTTTTCTTGTGACACATATCTACATGGCGTTCATATCTAGATTATTAGGCTAATATAACCAAATATAATAAATAGTCCAACAACCCCTCCTATTTGGTTATTCCCTGTAACTGAATACACCTCAGGAATTTAACAGGAGTCAACGGCTTCGTAAGTGAATCAGCTACCATGTCGTTCGTTGATATGTATGATGGTTTGATAAGCTTCTCAGCTATCTTCTGACGTACAAAGTGATGGCGCACATCGATGTGTTTAGTTCTCGATTGGTAGGAACCATTTTGAGCGAGATTGAGTGCGCCCTGGTTGTCCACGAATATTTTAACTGGGGTCTTCTCTTGCTCAGAGCAGGGAACTATCTCCTCTGACAAACCCTTCAGCCAGAGAGCCTCCTGGGTAGCAGCGGACAACGCCATATATTCCGCCTCAGTGGTGGATAACGCTGTTGTCGGTTGCTTCTTCGTTCCCCAAGATACTGATGCGTCGCACATCAGGAACACATATCCGGTGACAGATTTTCGCTCATCAATGTCACTTGCGAAATCAGAGTCACAATACCCAGTGATCTCACACGATTTGTTTCCATCGTACTCCAACTTCCAGTCTACTGTCCCTTTCAGGTATCGGAGGATGCGCTTCACTGCAGACCAATGTGCAGCTCCTGGGTTATTATTGAATCGACTAACGAAGCTGACAGCGAATGCTATGTCCGGTCTGGACACCTGTGATGCAAACAACAGACTGCCTACTGCCTCTTGATAAGGAATATTTTCCATTTTCTCTTCATCATTTGTAGAGGACGGCTGCTGGTCTTTGGAAAGCTTCACATTTGGATCAAGGGGAGTTGAGGCAGGGTTAGAATTTTCCATATGGAATCGAATTAAAACGTTATCAATATACGCTTTCTGATCAATCCATAGCTTCTTTCTCTTCCTGTCTCTTGATATTCGGAATCCAAGCACAAACTTGGCTTCACCAATGTCAGTCATCTTGAAATGTTTCATCAGTTGAGTTTTGATTTCGTGTTTCAGTTTCGGATCGTCAGAAAATATTAGCAAGTCATCAACCCAGACTGCTATTATCAACAAAATTTTCTGATTGGACTTGAAATAAACACAGGGATCAAATTTTGACTGCCTCATACCGATACTTTTCAGACATCCATCTAATTTGATATTCCATACTCTACTCGCTTGTTTGAGTCCATATAAACTCTTCTTTAGATGGCAGACTTGGTTTGAATATTGATAGCCTTCAGGCTGACGCATATAAATCTCTTCAGTGAGATCTCCTTGGAGAAAAGCTGAAACTGCGTCCATCTGATCAACGTCCATATCTCGTTTAGCTGCAAGGGCCAAAAGATACCGGATCGAGCTGTACCTCACTACCGGAGAAAAGGTTTCCTCAAAATCTACACCCTTGCGTTGGGCACAGCCTTTGACAACGAGCCGGGCTTTATGCTTCACTATTTTACCAGTGACATCTCGTTTTGTCCTGAAGACCCATTTGTTATTGAGTGGTACCTTTCCTGGTGGTAAATCCATGAGCTCCCATGTTCCGTTTTCTAGCTGCGATTTGTACTCAAGGTCCATAGCATGCTTCCAAAGATCACGGTCAGGACGATATTCGATTTCTTCAATGGTCGTTGGATCATCGGGTTCACTTAAGCTCATTGCATAAGAAACATAATCCTCGAATTTGACAGGTGGTCGTCTAACACGTTCTCCTCTCCGTTGTTGATCGGCTGGATCATTCCGTTGCTGATGTGAATCAGCATGATATGTCGGATCGTCATTCTCATCCTCCACTTGAAAATCAGTTGATTCATCTTGGTCGAGAAAATCATATACTGAACTGTCGTCATTGCCGGGTCCATCGCCTGATCCAGCAGGAAAATCACCAGGTTCATTGTCTCCACCTGATGCACCAGTGGCGCTATCTGGAACTGCTAGAATACGTTCAGCTTCTTGATAGTCTCCGATTTGATCGTCTATGTCATCATAGACCAGAGGATATTTGGCAAAATCTCTTTCTGATTTTTCCAAAAGCTGTAATCCTTTCTCGTGTTCTGAAAAAATGACATCACGAGACACAAATACTTCCGATTTTTTCGGATCATAAAGTCTGTACGCTTTACAATTAGCACTGTAGCCAATAAATATGCTTGGACGAGATTTCGCGTCCAACTTCTTTCGGTTGGCAGCTGGAATATGAGCATATACTTTACAACCAAACGTACGAATGTGCTTCACGGTCGGTTTTCTTCCTGTCCAAATTTCCAGTGGAGTGACTTCTGTGTATCTCGTAGGAGATCTGTTGAGAAGATAGCATGCAGTGTTTGCCGCTTCTGCCCAAAATTTCTGAGGAAGTCCCGAATCAGCAAGTAAACATCTGACCTTTTCTACAATCGTGCGGTTTAAACGCTCCGCTTTTCCATTTTGTTCAGGCGTATGAGGAACGGAAGTCTGATGTTGGATACCTTCAGTACGAAGAAAATCTTTCATTTGATTAGAACAAAATTCACCTCCATTATCTGTCCTGAGTATTTTTATCTTCAGACTTGTTTGATTTTCTACAAACTTCTTGAAATTGACAAAGGTATCAAAAACGTGGCTCTTTTTTACCACGAAATAACAAAATGACATGTGGCTGTAGTCATCTAAGAAGGTGAGCATATACTGGGACCCCGCTAGTGATTTATCTAGTGGCCCAACTAAATCTGAATGTACTAGCTCCAAGAGTCCAGTTGATCTAGTTTCACTCATTGGGAATGACAAACGATGCCTTTTGCTGACAGCACAAACTTCACAAATAAATTCTTTCGGAATTTTACCAGAAAACTGTATTCCGTGAACTAATCCATTTTTCAACTTCTTCAGATTGGATGAATTGACATGCGCCATGCGCCTGTGCCACAAAAGTTCTTCTTCAGGAAAATCTGAATGAGCCAATTGAACTGATTGGGAAGCAAGGTCCAACTTGAACAAATTATTTTCTAATGTTGCAGTTGCCAGTATGCTATCATTTGTATCATAAACTCGTGCACCATCAGAATCGAAGACAACTGTATTCCCTCTATTCACAATTTGACTGACTGAGAGAAGATTCACTCGTAAATCAGGCACATAATAAACATTTCGAACAGTTACATCTGAAGTATTGCCATTCACTGTGACAGGTAACTTTATATCACCAATACTGCTTGTTTGCATGATATTCTCACTGTTCGCGGTGCTTACATTCATTTTTGACGGGGTAGTTTCATTTACAAAAATGTTTTTGTTCTTTGTTATATGCGCGGAACAACCCGAGTCGAAAAACCAATCTGATGTACCCACAGAAATTTGAGTGGAAAGAGCGGTAAACATGCCTTGTTCCTTGTTATCACTGGTGGTGGCATTCCCGGAGAAATGTTTCTTTTCACTTCGGTTGGAGCAGTTTTTTGCAAAATGTCCGTATTTGTTACATTCGTAACAGCGAGGCCCTTTTGATCTGGAACTGGTACCGTTTTTGTCAGAATCGGAACTATTCTTTTTGAACTGGTTTCTCAAATTGCATTGAGCGGAACTGGGTTTCGGAGTAGAATATTTCCGATGTTGAAAACCATACATCGCCTCTACTTTCTGGCCATTTTCTCGTTTAGTCATTGAAACGTCTTGAAGCAGTTTAGTTTTGATCGCATCGGCGGTAATTTCAATACCGGATGACTCTATCGCCATGATCATAGGCTGGAAATTATCGGGAAGACCGGCTAATAAAATAGTTCCAACCCACTCGTCAGAAACTTTCAAACCAATGTTTGTAAGTTTATAGGCGGTCGTGATAATCCTATTCACGAAATCCTCAACTGAGTCACAGTTTTCGAGCCTAGTCATAATTAGAGCTCTCAATAAACCAACCCTTCTAATAAGTCCTGAATCCTGGAAGGCAGATTCCAAAGTGTCCCATGCTTCTTTGGCTGTCTTTGTTGATTGTAAATGAACGTAGTTTACCTGATCAACCAGAAGAATAATTTTTGCTCTTGCTTTGACGTCTTTTTTGCAAGGATCAGACTTACAGTCACCTGAGACGCAGTCCCAAAGTTCTTGGTCCAAAAGGTAGGCCTGTACTGCGAATTTCCAAGCGTCATAGTTCTCGCGCCCTTTCAATTTTTCTATTTGCGGGATCTGACTCGACATTTTCGCACACCGGTACAGGAAATACTTAATCGGCTTCAGCAGAATATCCTGGGGCTCATAACCTGTTGTTATTATATAGTTTTCCTATATAATAGTGAAGATGAAATCAGAATGACTGTTAACTGACATGGACTTGACAATCTATTTATTTTTCTTGTGACACATATCTACATGGCGTTCATATCTAGATTATTAGGCTAATATAACCAAATATAATAAATAGTCCAACAAATATGAATTCAGAAAGCGAAAATGAATTCAACTGCTCTCCACTATTAGAAGTTTTGAAAGCTGCCAATTCAAGTACAATCAGCATTTTGCCCGAGGAATCTAAAAAAAGGTATGAAGTGGTTTGGCGAAAAGCAAAACTTGCAAATTCATTTTCGGATGATGTACTGCTAGCCTATTTTGGCGAATTAGCAGCTAAACACAAAGCATCCTCCTTGTGGTCACAGTATTCCATGCATATACTAAGAGGCACAATTTCAATGAAAAATTATGTGAATATTGACAAATATTTGAAATTACGAGCATTTCTAAAAAGGAAATCTGATCGATATATGTCAAAGAAAGCGAAGATATTCACTGCTGATGAACTCAACCAGTTCATCACTCAGTCATAGAAAAAGTATAGTATTCTACTTGCGTGTAATGGCTATTACTCATTCGAATGATTACGACGTTCGCCTGCGGCTCACGTCGCAAACTTCATTCTCATGAGTAATGGCCATCATTACACGCTCGTCGAATAATATACTATTGTTCATATTAATGTATTAGTTAAGTCCGTTTGGTTTCTCTACGGTAATGATTCCTTGCTCTGTGTGTACTTGCAGTCACTTTTCGAGAAATGTTTTGAACATATTCAAGATTTTGTATCGTACTATGTATACCTACTGAATATATCTGCAAATTGCCAAAAATGAATTTCATGTAATTGAGACTTGAGAGTATATGTACAGGGTGTTTCATTAAGAATGGGCAATCTTACTTGAACTATAGATAGTGAACACAAAAATATGAAGTTTTAGCCAAACATACCTTATGAAAATGTTACAGATACAGGTGTTCAAGGAAAAAATTTCATTCAAAATTCCTCCATAACTTTCGTCGAACATTCAATTTGAAATTTTGTTTGTTGTTGGCGTTACTGTCACTTCCCTAACTATATAATTCGAAATAATTAAAATGTTATCAGTGAACCACTAATCTTTTCAAGAGCGAATAAAGCAATTAAAGCTATTGTCAGTTTCAAAAAGAGTGAATTTTGTATGTAAAATATGAGGTGACTTTCAGATTTTTACTCATTCTAACCATTATTTAATGGACAAAGAAGGAGTAACAGAGCGCCCTCTATATGAGCTATCACAAAATAAGTTACTAGAAACTACACAATTTTATGTTTATTTTGTTGAAGCTACTTACAAAATCATTGACTAATTTTGAAAAGAAATATTCAACTTGAATGTCCTAAACCAGAAAACTTTTTTATAAGGCATCTTAGGCTAAATTTCCATATTTTGGTATGTTTACTATCTGTAGTTCAGAGATTACCCATTCTTAAAGAACCACTCTGATGTATATACGCATTTTTGCATGTTTTCCATCATTTTCCTCTATTGCCTCATCACTAATATGCGATATGGAAGGCCTTCTACAGGGTCAAAATTATTGTGCAGACCATGCATATTCATGATTTTCAGTTCTTGTGTTACTTGATGAGGAGAAAACACACGAACAGAGTGAACAGTGCGATATAGGTGATACTGGGTTGTGCAAAAAACTCATCCAAGAATCATAAAAAATTAAGCTGTGACAAATATAAAAATCTTCATTGGAGTACTCACGATTAACTTATTTCTTGCGTATACTTCGATAAACTATGTAAACCTACCTATACTCTCAGAAAAACATACTGAAGTAAGAATACCGGTCGCCCTGATTGAAATATCGATATTCGCTGAATACATATCATTGGTCTTGGACAGTAACCATTAATAAATAATGTAAATGATACGTTGTACAGATTACAGAGTATGTCGATAATGGCAATATTGCATGGAGACCAAAAATCCATCTGGCAGGCGTCAATGCCACGGCTTTTCAATCAAAAAAGATTCAAACTGTTGCATATTTATTCAGAATTCGATCTATTGCAGTTGTTTGAAATTTTGAATATAATATCACAAAATTACGATACGCAGTATAGTTGACAGCACAATAAATCTCTTTGTAAAGATATTCCAACAACAAAGGAGAAATTACCACCAGAACTATGAAGAAAGAGAATATAATGAGAACTCGATTGATCCTCCAAAAATTGCAGAACAGCAAAATAGAGAGACATGTTGGAGACAGAGAAACCGTAAACATCCAGTATCAATACGCTAGATGATGCAGAAACATATAGTTCCACTTAATTAGAAACCTCATATTATATTATGCATGTCTGAACTAAATATTCCAATTACTACTGAAATACTGAACTATAATATGGAAAATGCACTTCGTATCAGTGACCTCATATTTCAGCAAAATTCTATAATTTTTTGACGTATAGTAGACGAATGGCGCCAAACCTTCAATAGTTTGAAGGAGCATATTTATCAAATTCTAAAAGATACAATTATTGAGAGATCAGAAATCTTGGTAGCAAACAAGTAAACATGGTATGCTTATTGGAAGATTCCGAATTGATTGGGAACGAATTAAACTCACCTGGATTTGAATGTTTGTATTGATTGTATTGTTCGACACTGGTAGCGGCCTCTATCCGTATATATCAGAAATAAATCATTACATGCTGTATTTTTCTGCACAGATATAGTAGAGATTTTGGCTCAACATTTCTAGATGACTCTGCTCATTCGAATTGTACAAACATGAGCATTGTGAATGTGAATGTAGGAATTGAAGCATCTGCTTGAAGATAACGCAACAACCACAATATTTTGAATTATCTCGGTTATTAGTGAAACATGAATGAACTCCATAATATCTCCCCAATTGCCACAGCATGAGCAAAGTAGGGTGGAAGGAATTGCGTTACAGATACAAGAAAATATAATACTTATAGAATTCAGACCATCCCATAGGAAATATCCATATGGCAAGGACTTTAAGTACTTAGGTTACAGGGCTCCTTCCAAAATATAGCTTTGAAAAAACTTTTAAAATAAGTATAACGGACAGAGAGGCATGGAAGGAAGGACCTCCTATCAATGCAGACATTGCTGTCTATACGGACGGCTCCAAAACTGAGTTTGGATCAGGAGCTGGTATTTATGGGGCCAAGCCAAAGACAAGAATCTCACTGAGCTTAGGTAAATACGCGACGGTGTTTCAGGCAGAAATTATTGCAATACATCATTGCGTGAAAGAATTGATAAGGCAAGAGTTTATAGGCAAAACCATTGCAATCTATTCAGATAGCCAGGCGGCAATCAAAGCAGTCAACTCTATGCAAGTTAACTCAAAACTAGTATGGGACTGCTTAGAAACCCTAAATGGACTGGGCAGTCAGAACAGACTGACTCTAGCATGGGTACCAGCACATACAGGGTACGAGGGCAATGAAGAGGCAGACTCACTTGCCCGAGCAGGAGCAAACAAAGCTCTGAATGGCCCAGAACCCTTCTGTGGTATTGCGAAAGCTATACAAAAGACTAGTATCAAATCATGGATGCAAACCAAATCTCAAGAATGGTGGAACAAATCGCCAGGAATGAGACAGGCAAAAGAGTTTATTAAAAAACCATCGCCAACATTCACAGAATATCTACTAAGCCAGAAACGAAGTTCAACTAGAATACTAGTGGGACTTCTCACAGGGCATTGTAGGCTCAACAAACACATGAGTACGATAGGTCTGACTGAAGAACTGCTGTGCAGGTTCTGTCAGGAAGAGGAGGAAACAGCAGTACACATACTTTGCCACTGTGAGGGCTTGTCAAGACTAAGGTTCCTTACGCTGGGTGAGGAAAAACCAGAAGCCCAGAGATACACAGGGGATCTGGAAGCTAGCCTATGGAGTCTCATAGGGAAGACGGGGCTAGCCGAAGAACTCTAATCGATTTTGAGGGCAGACACAATAGATCTGAAAAGGTCGCGGTGTGGAGGCAGATAGCCCGAAGGCCCCATTCTAAATCTACAGGGCTCCTTCTGATAGACATTTCATTCAGGCGACATCACCAAATTTTCAAATTCATCCCTTGCTGGAATACTTACTATACTTTCCAGTCTGGACCAGAGTACAGCCAGGTACAGCTAATACACTTCTTCTGCCTGTATCTATATACAGGCGAATTTTACTGATGAATGAATCAATGAAATAGGCTGGACTTTGATTTGAAAGATGTATGAAGTGTTTATCTTTTGGATTTTTTTCCTAGTACAGTGAAATCTGTCATCTGGCAGAGCTTCCTCATAATGGAGATTGAAAATATTGATTCCTTTTAGATAAATTCGAGTACGTTGGCCAAAATCTTGGCAGTGTGAGTAGCACAAGCCCAAACATAGATCTCGTGAAGAGTCTGAAAGAATTAATTTTGGGATGGTATGACGAAGTAGCTGACTACAATTCAACCTGGATAGATGACACTAGACCAAGGTAAGTCCACGAAGAATCAGTACTGATAATATAAATCGAATTTTGCAAATGCACCACATGATGAAAAACCCCAACATGAAGATTGAGATAGAGATCAGTCAGCGGATATTGATCCAACTCATTTCAATTTCAGAATATAGTATTCAATCAATAAGTGATATACAGTGTGACCCACTTCTAATGAAAACACCCCTGTATATCTTCAGTAATCGTTGGAGAGAGAGATATACCAAAAATGCACTCTATGACCAAGTGGGGTCACCTTCGGTGATCTACACTGCTCACCAACAGCAATTGAACCACCCCAATTTCCGGAAAAGATATTAGGAGTCAAAATAGGTTGAAAATCACTTCGGATTCGGAATCAGGACGCCCAATTCACTAACTATCCATAGTTTTCCTAGACAATTTTCAGTTCAGAAAAATTAAATTTTGTCTCACTTCCCTTGGAAGGACCCCCGTATCTCACGTGATTATTGAGGTAGGGTTCTGAAATTTGCAGGTGAAAGGGAAAATTCCAAAGATGAAGTCGATTACGTAAGATACGGGGGTGCTTCCGTAACAAGTGCAACAGAATTCAATTTTTCATAACTGGAAATTTTCCAGGAAAAATACGAAAAGTTAGTGAATTGGGCGTCCTGATTCCGAATCTGAAGTGAGTTTTGACCTATTTTGACTCCTAATATCATTTTCACGAAATTGGGGTGGGTCCATGGCTGTTGGCGAGCAGTGTATATCACTGAAGATGACCCCACTTGGTCATAGAGTGCATTTTTGGTATATTTCTCGCTCCAGCAAATTTCAGGATCCTTACCCAACGATTTAGTAAAGTACAGGGGTGTTTCCATTAGAAGTGGCTCACACTGTATATTATATTCAATGAGATGTATAGACCGTTTAAGAATATATGAGTTCAACCCAGATTATTGATTTTTAGTCGGATATTCCTTATAATTCTCTTATAGGAGTTTCAAAACTTGAGACAATGATCAATGATAGAAGTTATATAGAAGAATTCGACGAAAAAAAAAGAAAACCTAATCTCATTTGAGATATCATTATGTCATTTGAAGAAATATATAATTTATTTTAAGAACTTGTTGGTCTTCAATCGGCGATTTTGTTGTTTTTAAAGAGATATATTTAGATTTTACATTCAAGAGCATGATTTTGAATTGAGTACATGAGTTGAAATATATTTTTTCTACTCACATAACTAAAATGGCATTTATCGTACGGATATGTACCACGCTAAATGATCGATTAATCACGGATTGTCGATCTGTGATTTATTCAAAATATTAAACACGTTACTATGGCAACACGATTTCTTAAACACATTACCATGGCAACGCAGTTCATTAAACACAGCTTTAGTAATTTGAGACATGTCTGGCCTGTCAATTGTATTAACTGTCAACTGTTTTTTTCATATTTTGAATCAGAATTATTCAAACAATATTCGTTTGTATCAGAATTCTTCATTAAAAATATATGCTAAATGTAGACGGAAGTGAAATCGAAGAGAATGTTCTGATACTTGCATATCTCCAAGAAGTGTAAAAATGAAGCATCCATCTTTGAGAACAATTTATTTATTCTGCGCTAAGCATGACAATAAACGTGAAACAAAGGTTAGTAAGCAATGGACTGGACACATCTACAACCAATATCACTTATACGTGTCTCGCTGGTTGCATGCAGTTGCATGTATTATGTTCTCAATTCCCATTCCTTTCGAATTATTCTGTAGGTTAGCAGGAATAGCAGGTATGTTAATGTAATTTTCGGAGTTCGTAGAAAAAGCATAGTATGTAACGCGTTTATAAACTGTTCTAGACACTCGTTTATTAAACACTAGCTCCGCCCTGCTCCTCTCGTGCTTAAAATACTCGTTACTAAAAGGACGTTTATAACACTTGTTACATAATATACTATTATCTCATTCCGGGACTCAGTATTATTGCTATACAAAGAATGAGTCTTCATTTGAATGTTTCAAGTGAAAACTTTTGTTTCCTCATGGTGAGATAACATTTGTTTGTGTGTATTGATGGTAATTCTCTTAGACTCTAGACATGAAATCCTATTGCTGGAATTTCGATTGCCCCAGAGTATTTCCATCAGATTAACATGATGAATAATATCTAGGACCTAGGATCTTCTAAATCATTAATTTCATTTTGTTTCTGTTCTCCATCAGAGAAAAAGAGATCGGTCATTACACCCAGCTGATATGGGCTTCCACAACCACCATAGGCTGCGCTGTTTCCTACTATTCCACCGTCATCGATGAAGAAAATTGGTACGTTCTGTTGCTAGTATGCGACTACGGTCCCGGAGGCAACTATCTAGGAAGTCCGGTCTACCGATTGGGCAAACCATGCACCGAGTGCCCTAAAGGGAGAGCCCTCAAAAACAAGGTTTACCAGGGATTGTGTGGAGTGGATATACGTGTGAACAGCAGTGATCTATATGAAGACGCTGTATTTTAACTCAATGCTCAATTATAAACTGTCAAAAGAAGTGTTCCTATACATATATCGAATTGTTTTTTATAAGAGGTTGAAATTCAGTGAACAAGTGAATAGAGGTGACTTTGAAAGGAATATATGTACTATGAATTTCACCCTTGCAGTTTTAATAACCGACATATACAGGGTGAGATAAAATAACACCAGCAAACTTCGTATGCATGGGTTGTGTGCATGAACTGTCAGTGACCGACCCTGGAAGTGAAACATTGAAACACAACCTCACTTTCCTTATTTGTTTTCAGATGATTGAAATAGTTTTGCAAAATTATTTTGGCATACGAATCATGTTTTTCGGCTATTCATTAGTTCGCGCAAACCATATCACATTGTGCTGTTGTACAATGCACAAAAAATGCAGCGAGAGACAGAAGAATCTGCTTGGTATAGATTATGATCCGAAAGTGAGTATACTATAGTCATTCACATATTCTTGGAAATATTAGTGGGATGCACTCTGGACCAATGGATCAATTGAATTTCTTCGTTATTTGTCGTCGAGCTTTCGAAAATTTTAATTTTCTTTATCAAGACTAAAAACATGGAATTCTATATAAAATTAGCACAAAAAGGAAACATAGGTGTATATATATATTTTATTTTTAAATTTGGTAATTTCTCTGATTTCTCATCGGAATTCCTTCTGCAATAGGAGCTAATAGAAATTTCTAAAAGAATGCAAGAAGATTGGATTCATGCAATCAAACGAAAGGACTGGTCTGACATGCTGACGAAATATATGATCGTGTGTGTTGTAGACATTTCCAATTAGCAGTATTATAGCTTCTATTGCAAAAGTGGCAGAAGGAATTTTAATGAGAAATGAGAAAATTTACTAATGAAAACTATGTGAGATTACTATTTACCTGAAAAATCATATTCCTTCGTCTCTCGCTGCAATTTTTGTGTATTGTACAACAGAACAATGAGAATTAATGAATAGCGCAAAAAACACGATTCACCATATGTCAAAAACTATCTCAATACTTTGATTCCCATGTAAACAAATAAAAAGAGTGAGGTTGTGTTTCAATATTTTACTTCTAGGGTCGGTCATCGTGCATGCGACCTATACGGATTTCCAACCTCATTTCGAGGTTAAAAGTTCCTGTCAACGTATGTTCTTGAATTCATAGTGCATCCTCTCTGAGATTCAGTGTCATAAGTACGAAAAATATTGAGGTTTATTTATATTGATTTCTCCGGAACCCCTGTAGGAAAAGAATTGAAACTCGGTATACGATTCCCGATTAATCAATGTATTCACATAAATTTTCTCTCTTTGAATATCGTTTTGCATTTTTCTCAGGGTATTGATAAGAAGTAACACATGTCATGAAATTACTTCTAGGGAAAGGTACATCCACGTGGATGGAAGGTGTAGAAGAAAAAATCACAAATGTGACATAGTTTTATTGCAGTTGATTTTTTTCATAGAAATGAAGAGAATCAATAACTTTTGAACCATCAACAATTGGATAACCACATACAGGGTGATCAACTTATACTCCGAAGTACTAGATTCTACAGAGTACTTTCGGAGCTATGGCCACTTTTATGTAAAAATCTCAACGAAATCCTCGCCCTGTATTAATCAGAACGAACAACGGAGGGTTCGGGTTTCATTGTCAAATGGATTTGATAATGGTCTAGTTTTTTTTCAGCCCATCTCGCTTTTAATATCTCTCATTTCGTACACAGGGTGAACCAAAACTAGTGCCGATGATTTTCTCAGTTATTTCAAAAGAAACACCCTGTATTTCATGGCATTTTTAGAAAGTACTCACAAAACACTTTTACTTTTGTTAAGCATTCCCTATACCTAAATGTTACTGTTATTGAATCAATTTGATTTTCAATAATAAAATCGCCATGTTTGGCAAATGTAAGTCTGTTAGAGGAGGCCATGTCTGCTTGTTTCCAATAAACAAATCAATACACAAACACACACATACATCTTCATTAGGTTGAGCGCAAAATTTCATCGAAAAATCTCAATTGGCAACAAAGTTACAACAACTTTAATTTTGATTGCTCACCATTTTTAATGAATATTTCAGACAAATTCTGAGAAGCGGCAACATTGTCAACACAAATGTTGGAAATCATTGAAATTTCTGGTATACAATTGAATTGAAAATGGAATTCATCTTGGTATTCATGAAAAGATTCATAAAATGAAAAATCCATAACGTCGAAAAATCGGCTTCTCACAATAATTATCATCAACCAAGGATTTTTGTATCAAATAATAAATTCATCTCAATTTTATCATTTCCAAATTTTCTACCAGCCATCGTACAATTGATATGTTCAATAATATACATCATTGAATAATCTCGGTCCATAACTATCTAGCCCTAATCAATACATTTCAAATTTTTCGGTTAAAAACTATAGATTTTATAAGGGTGCTCCGGTCTTGAGTGGGTCACACTGTACATATACGTGAAGACCCTGTACCGATTGTGTGAGATTTCCTGTTTTTACTGGGAAATGAGAAATGAGACTCAAGAAGGAGGTCAGAAAGGTTACGTATTTTATTGATTATAGTTCAATGTTTCACACGTCATATGTTTTCCCTGTATGTTGTGAATGGAAATTCGCGCCTTCGCTCAGGTGAGTCTATTAATCAAAATTTGCTGTAACATTATCCGAAGTACCTAGTCACATCGTGCTGGAAACTACGTGCTGAAAATTGGAAAGTTCCAAACTCTAATAATTCTCACTTGGGCTGACGGCAGTTGGTCCGAACCATATAACGGAGTTGGTACCTATAATAATTGAATAAACACCACATAGGAAATCCGTCGAGAAGGACAGACCAATGCCCTTTTGGCTTTCAACAAGGAACACCTGGAAGGAAGACTGCCGGTTTCGCAGCTGCAACAAAGATAGCTTGTGTTGCGGTAACCTGTCTCTTTTACACTCGTGTTGTTTAATTTCATTCTATTTATTTTTTTATTTATTTTATTTATTTCTTACACTGTTCAACAAAAAGGACAAAACAAAAACATGCATTGCATATTACATAAGCATATTGTATAGACGAAACAATATGACAAAATGAAAGTATCCTGAATAAGTATCTAGTTATTCACTGATGAAGGAGAAAAAAGATAAAAAGTTTTGACATGAGTTATTCCACAGCTGAACAGATGTAGATTCCTATCTACCAAGTTATATACAGAGTGTTATGTAAGTACGTGGCCAAACTTGAAGGGGTGATTCTTTGAGTGATTCTAAGACGAAAAGTTCATATGAACATAGGTCCGGTAATGTTTCGTTTTCAAGATACAGGGTGTCAAAATTAAAAAAAAAAATCGTTTTTTTCGTAAATATCTTAATAACCCTTCAACCGATTTTATTGAAATTTGGCAGTGTTATTCAAGGTCGTAAAGGGCTGATTTGACCCTAACTATATCGAAATTATCATGTCCAGTGGCGTCCCGGAATGCACTGTAACCAATATTTTTGACAGAAAAAATGTGCGCCCCTGATTTTTCTGCAATTTTTGTATCTGTTTCACATTGAGCAACTAAAATTACAACTTTTTTATATCCAGAATTTTTTTCGTATCTTGCTTTGTTTTTGAGAAAAAACATAAAAATCACTTCATGGCACATCCCTGTGACAACACAATAAAACATTTCAACTACTAAACCATCAAAAACTGGGGTCTTTCTAATATTTTTTCATATTAATACTCTATTCTAGTTGCTCAATGTGAAACGAATACAAAAATTGCAAAAAAATCAGTGGCGCACATTTTTTCTGTCATAAATATTGGTTACAGTGCCTTCCGGGACGCCACTGGACATGATAATTTTCATATAGTTAGGGTTAAATTAGCCCTTTACGACCTTGAATAACACTGCCAAATTTCAATAAAGTCGGTTGAAGGGTTATTAAGATACTTATTTACGAAAAAAACGATTTCTTTTAAAAATGTTGACACCCTGTATCTTGAAAACGAAGCATTACCGGACCTATGTTTATATGAACTTTTCGTCTTAGAATCACTCAAAGAATCACCCCTTCAAGTTTGGCCACGTACTTAAATAACACCCTGTATACTACACATCTTATACAAAGGTGAATTTTTATATATTATGTTGGTTCGAGGAAACTCTAAGTATAACGTATCAACAATTTCTGGAAGATAATCTCGGGATAATAAAGTTCAATTTTTCCAACAAATCTGCACAATCAATTAGATTGTTAACAACCCTATAAAGGATCAGGATAGAGAAGTATTGTCTTCTTACGTGCAGGCTTACAAATTGGAAAGTTTAAAGAAGCTCTCCATGAGGTGTACCAATTGGAGGGTATGTACCGCATGACCTGTAACTTAACAGTTTTAAAAACCCGTCGTTGCAGACTTTCAAGACGATCAGTATTGTTCCGATAGTATATATGGGCTCCAAACAACCGATGCATATTCAATCTTCGAACGTATAAAACGGTAGTACAATTTCTTAAGAGTATCTATCTCTTTGAAATCACGACTGTCCCCACTATGAACCCGTATGCTCGAAATGCGGATTTCAGGATTGAGTCAATATGATCATTAAAAGATATAGATCGATCAAATATAACGCCAAGATCTTTGAATGTTATAGGTCTCAGACGAGAAATTTCACCAATTGAGTAATTTAAAACGATAGGGTCCGACTACAATGTGAAGGACATGACATTACATTTGACAGGATTCAGTTCTAATCTGTTATTTCGACACCATTCTACCACTCGACCCAGGTTGTCAGCAAGCTGTTGACAATCATCTATGTGATTCGCTCACCTATACAATTCCAGGTCGTCCGCATATAGCAAAAAGTTCACGTCAATAACATTACCAATGTCGTTAATGAAAATGTTGAAAAGAAGTGGCCCCAGATTGCAGTCTTGTGGTACGCCAGATGTTGCAAGATATTCGATAGACTTGTAGCCGTTCAACTGGACATATTGTTTACGATCAGTGAGGTATGATTTGAATAAGTTTACTAGAGAGATAGATAAGCCAATGACGGATTGGTGTATAAAGGACCCCGCACTTTTTCTATATAAAAATGGCGTTCCGTCGAATTTCCCCAA